CTCCTCCTCCTCCTCCACCACCTCCTCCTCCTTCTCCTCCTCGTCCTCCTCCTTCTCCTCCACCACCTCTGCCTCCACTTCCATGTCCACTTCCGCCTCGCCAACTCTTCGCCAATCTCTTCGCCAACTTCCGCGCGCAGTGGGCACTGCTGGACCTCAACTGCCGGCTTCCGATCTGAGTGGGCACGGCTGGACTTCAACCGCAAGGTTCTGAGCGCAGTGGGCACCATTGAATTGGACTTCAACCAGGGACCTTCCGAGCCCAGTTGGCACCGCTGGACCTCAACCTAGGGCCTTCGGAGCCCAGTGGGCACGGCTGGACCTCAACCTGGGACCTTCCGAGCTCAGTGGGCACCGCCAGATAGAATGCCAGAATATATGCCAGAAAGACTGCCAGAATATATGCCAATAGATTGCCAGAATATATGCCACATAGAATGCCACAGGGAATGCTAAAATATATGGTAGAAAGAATGCCACATAGAATGCCAAAATATATACCAGATAGAACGCCAAAATATATACTAGATAAAATGCTGGAAGATATGCCAGATAGAATATCAGAATAGATGTCAGGTAGAACGTTAGGTAAAATGTCAAAATATATGTCAGGATATATGACTTGAAATGCCAGGGTGGGGATCACTCGGAGTAAAGTAATTTTAGATATCACTGCTTAATGCTTCTTCCCTGTAATTCTGATTGAAAGGTCCAGAAAAGGATCTTTGCGGATTTGAAAATTGCAGATGGATATTTATCGTATGAAATCTGCCTGATTTTGCTTCAAGGCTTGTAATTGTATACACATTAACGCTATAGTATTGGAATCTAGGGTTCTTTGTCACAGAGACAGATATAAAATTCAAATCTAAGCGGAAAACAGAAACGTAACATCCGTTATATAAAAATCCTGGTAGTGAACCTGCACATATTTAGTACCAGTATTAACATCACCATGAATGGGGAATAGTTAATGAAAAAATTGTCCTTTGTAGATTCCAGCAACCCGGGGTAATATTTTGATGGTAGACAGCACACCGGGCCCATCCGCCAAAATCCCAGCCGACTGGCAGGAACTGCTCACTGGTTGTGGTGGCCACCGGCCACCACCCACCGGGTGGTGGTGTGGGGTTGAAGGTTCTGTTGGATAATGGATATGATATAAACATAGAAATAATGGGGAAAATTAGTCCTTCAGTAAAGGAATGACCATCAGGGATAATATTTGTGGTTTTATATCAAAGGTATATGGGGATACCACCGTGGTTGAAATGAATAGATATAGTGATATAGTACATACCCTATAAAGGGATGGCACCCATTCCATTTTAATCCAGCAATTGGTCGGGTATCCTATAAGGGAAGTGGTAGTGGACCCCTGCTTATCCAAAGAATAGGATAGAAAAAAATAACTATAACCGATACTGGGATGATACCAATTTAATCAACCTATTGGTTGCCTAAGATTGAAAATAATAATGCACATATGATTATCCATGAGCATGGTAGAAAACAAATCGATAAATGAAATAACTAATGGTAAGGTGACACCCATTTAATCAACCAATTGGTTATACCTCATAGGTGGAATAATGCACATATGGTTACCCATGAGCATGATATAGTAAATAACCAAAGGTAAGATGATATCCATTTTATCTACCCACTGGTTACCTCATAGGGGGAACTAATAATCCATGAGCATGGTAGAAAACAGATAAATACATTAACAAACCAATGGTAAGATGATACCCATTTAATCAACCAATTGGTTACTTCATAGGGGAAATAATAAGGTATCTATAATACAATTCAATACCACCATATATTAAATTTGAAAGACCCAAGAATCCATTTCCACAGACCCCAGATCAATTGCAATACCTTATCAGTGGATTCAGTGGCATTTTCTGATGGCATACTGAATTCATACTGAATTCGGACACCTTTCAAATTTCGCACTTTCAGCGCAGTCGGTGATAGCACCTGACCCAAGTATCACTTATGATATTCGTTTTGCAGCTGAGCATCTTCCCTCCATCCAGGAAGGGTAGTACAAATCATCCGGACCCCAGCCTCTTGTACAGATTTCATGTTTGGATGACAAGAAGAAAAGACCAAGATCCCCAATAACCACCAGCAAATAACGTTTCACAACATGGCGACTGCGTATTGTGCCTGGAATGAATCCACTCGGAAGCTTTTCCACCTGCAAGAGTTCTGTGTAAATTCCCAAACATCTCCAAGAATCATCCAGTGAAACAAAACTGGAAACCAAAGATGAATAGTAATGAATAGTGAATACATGATGATTGCATAATGAATAGCTTAATGTTAACATTATTTACATTAAATTTACAGTATTTTCTTCAGAAACCATGAAGAAATCTGCCTCGGTGCCGTTGAAGCGCAGCTGCAGCTCCGTGGGAGACGGCCTGGCCGTCTCTGCGAGCGCCAAGTGGGGTAGCGACCTCGACGCCAAATCTTTGTGCACTCGGGTTTGAACCAACGGCAGTGTGTCAAAACCCATGGAATCCCCTGTAGTTCACATCAAAATAGCTGGGGTAAATGGATGTGAATAACCCCCTAAAAATGGTATTAATAGGTATTGATCCATACCCAATTATTCAATCGATTCAATAGATTAACAATGAATCTTTGTGCACTAAATGAACGTCATAATATTTGCTCATGATCGATGCGCATGAACTCTCAAAACTTCCAAAAGTACCACAGAAATGCTTAATGTTGAAAGATGTTGAAAGATGTTGAAAGTCAAGTTGCCAGCTCAGAAGCCCAGCTGAAAGGATTTTCCTTCGGCTGCGGCCCTGCACAACAGGGATGTCCTATGTGCTGTGAATATTCTGTGATTTTTTCCGATTTTTCCAAGCTTCTCAAGGTTCCTCCAGGTGCATTGATCAAGTTTGCTACCGCATAGCTCACTTTTTATTCACTGCAGCCAGTGACTGCTAGTGTCAGTAGCCCTCGGAAGTCTTGTCTACGTCCTTGTTGGAGTTTCCTCGTCTGCCAAGCCGCCGTGAGTTGTGAGTTCCTTCGATCTTGTGAGCGAACAAGGTCATCCATGGAGGGCTGTAGCTCTCTTCCAGCACCAACTTGACAGTGTCTTTGGCGAAGTAACATTCAGAGCTGCTGGCGACTGGGGTATTTCCATATCGAGCGGGGAGGCTTCTGTGTGCAGCGTGTTCCACCAACCTGTCACGTTGGAATGTGCCCTCATGAAAGGAGTAATGTTCCAAGCAGCACCGACTTGACTTCCATTGCCTCTTGCAGAAAGTGAACGAGGAGCTCAAGGATTCAATGGAACTTAACTTAAGTGTCGAAGCAACACCGACTTAAGTTACTTAAGTCGTTGTTGCTTCGACATTGCTCCTTTTGCCGGATCTTGTTCGTGACAGGTTGCTAGGAGCACTTGCCATCAGCTGAAAGAGGTCAGCTTCTTTCCATTGCTTCTCTGTCCATAGGAGTCAGATCTACTCCTCTGAAAAAATTGAAATCCGGGGGTGGGTGATCCGTCACCCACTCACCCACTACAAGTTGCAAAATGCATTTGAACCTAAAAGGGCCAGGTTTCAACGCCATTTGAATTGATCATGTCTATGCCTCAAACATGGCCAAGAACAGAAACTCAGATAGGTGATAGGTCATGATAAATCAATCCAACAACTGCCAATAACTCAATAACTCTCACTTGATCAACTGGGAAATGTTTGAGCCTCGCCAGTGCATATCCAGGCCAGCCTGACCAGCACGGCAGCTTCGAGGTGGGCGGTGGGTGGTGGGCAACAAAATGCTGTGACCATAATTGTGATAAGCTGACCATAGCTGTCCCTAGCCTTGTGCTTAACCCCGACCACCAAGCTGCAACAGCAGCCACAGCCAAGAGCCTCGACGCGAGGGCCACAATTGGTGAAAGGAACAAAATTTCACAGAACTCGTTATGCTCCTATGAAGACTTCAAGTTCACAAACGTAAACAATATGCCCTCCAGTAAACTAACATAGATGTGGAAAATCCACTATTTACAGATCCTTTTCTTCGTAAACCATGGGTCTTCCACATCTTAGTTTACCCCAGGGTATCATATATTATCATATTACCATCTCCCTTGCAATTCAGTGAGTAGGGCGCACCCCCTGATTCTGCAAGTACAAAACTGGGGCCTGACCTTTAGATTGGTGTCCCCTCATTACAAAATCAAAGGTACCAGACCTTTCCAAGCATGGTTTTCATTACAAAATCAAGGCTGTACATGTAGTTGTACATGTAGCTGTCTCCCATGATGATTTTATGCCCTTCATCTGTGCGGGTTAGGGTATGATTTTGTAAGCAGGATTCCTTACAAAATCAAAGGCAAAAAAACGCATGTTTTGGGGGGTCCGGCTACCTGATTTTATAAAGGCAACTGCCATGGGGATAGATTCTCATTGCATATCATTGTGTCATCTTGTGGATGACGGGCATCAAGCAGCTTCAACCAACTGCGACAGCTGGCCTGGCTGCAGCAAGTACGCGTCTTTGGGCGAAGGCGCCATGGCGTGACGTAAACATTTCAAGGTCAATCCGGGGCAAAAATGCTTCCGTTGGCTTGGAAAGACTTTTGCGACCGTCTGATGCGGTCTGCAACAATTGAAACAACAAACGATTTTGGCCGTCAAAGATGAATGATCCTAATAGAGGGATATAGAGGGGCGCCGCAAGTCTACCATAGTCTACCATAGTATACCATAGTGATACACGATACACCGTCATTTTTTATGCCATGTCAAGGTGTTCTTGTGGCTTAAGTGGCAGTGGCTCAAGTTTCCAGGGCTTGGGCCCAAACTTTGGCGGCAGGGTGGCAGGGTTGCCCACTTGGTGGACTGCTGTGATAAATAGCGGATGTATAAAACATTATAAAGCATGACAAAGCCTAATCAGCTCTGCAATATCATGCAATATCATGCAATATCAGCATGGGTGATATATGTGATATGAGCCTGTCAGTACCTGGTACACAAAATGCGATGAATTGCAGTACCTGTCAGTACCTGGTCACACGAAACGCCCAAAGTCCTGACGAGGGTCCCAGCGCAGCGGAGGCAGAATAAATGAGCGCAAGCAGCCAGCATGGCTCCTCAGTGAACAAGCCCACCAAATCGTCATCAAATCTTGGCAAAACGCCAAAATGTGATAACCTTAACACACCACTGCCGACACCACATGCAAAACATATCAAAACATTGCAAAACTGGTGGACTTGTTTGGACTTGTTTGGACTTGCTGATTAGGGTGCTGCATGGTGCTGCCAAGACTCGCTCGGTGGGCGGAAAGTCATTGAGGCAGACCGGGCATTGGAAGTTCTGCGCTTCTGCAGCATCCAACATGGCCGAGAGGAAGGCATGCTCGTGACTCCTGGCACCAGAGATATCCACGGATCCCTAATTTGGACAAAGAAGAGCCTATTGGCACCGGTCATGGCGCATGGTTCATCGTGCTTACAGAAATTGCATGAAATTGCCATATTGGGCCGCGGCTATCCCATTTCGACACCCAACTGTTGAAGCATCAGCCATCGGCATCTGCGGCTCCTCTGCCTGAAAGCTTCTTTCGCCTGCTTCACTTCTTCCAGAAGCTCCAAAGCGTTGGTGTCACTCGACACCGCCTGCCACTATGCCAGTATTATCCAAGCGCACCAGTTTGATCCACTTTGGGGGAACATGACCCAAACATACCCAGTGATCCAAACCAGTCCGCCATTCCGAATTCGGATCAGGATCTTCAGGATCGATGTCGATGTCAGGCTGCGCTGCCTCCAAGGACTCTTTCCAGTCCTCAACGGCAAGGCCACTTCGAATCTCCAAAATGGCCTGTAGAATCAAGTCGTCAGCATCCCTCTCATGCCTGCGACACATCCAAACACCAAAAAACTTCAAATGGAAGAAGAAACATCATGAAACACCGTCAAGAAAACTAATTCCTTCTACAAGTCAAGTCTGTCTGGCGATTTTTGCTACAGTCTGCGTGACTTGTTACGACTTGTTACGACTTGTTACGACTTGTTACGACTTGTTACGACTTGTTGCTGTTTTGACAAAGTTGACAACGTCCGGCCTTTTGCTGCGCTTGCTGGTGCCCTGGCGGGCAGCTTTGGCCCCGGCCACCTGTGACACCAGCTGCTCTGAAGCAGCGAAACCGCTGTATGGTTTGCCTCAGCACCAAACTGCGCGTTTTGACATGTTTTGACACAATCGCTTCCCGATCTTCCCGGAGAAATTGAAAGGTATCACACATCTAAGTCAGTTTTTTTGATGAGATGTCTTGCCTGAAAACAAATTTGATTTGAATTTCCGCAGAAATGGAGCGGTGGAAAATGATTGAAGGGCATAGTAATTAGTAATCATAGCGCCAAACATTGTGGCAACCCGACATAACCCGACTCACGAGACGAGTCTGGCCGAATCGAAGTATCGAACCAGAAGCCTCTCGGCCACACTCTGCTGGACTCTGCTGGACTCTGCTGGACTCTGGACGCCCAGGTGCCATCCACTTCCACCAGAAGCTGTGCATACTGCTCCGCTACGACTGTGGGAAGGACTCCCTCGCGCTGGGCCTCAGCTCCAACCGCACATGTGGGCATTATGCCATACGTGGCATTACGTCGCATTATGCCATACTATGCCATTCTCATCCAGTCTCATCCATTCTCATCCGTTCTCCATTCCGCATACTGATCCTACTGCTAAGTGTACAAATGATACACAATAGATTCAACTAAACTCAAGGAGCCAATGGTCAAAGTTGTCATGGTGAACTGGTCTCAGGAGGCTTGAACGGCTTGAAAAAAAGGCGTTTCGGCTGTCGTAAACATTATGGTTTCCTCGCACCAATGATCTTGGCGCCTTGGTGCAAGACCGATTCCAAGGAAAAAAATGAGATTAAATATTTATATAATATATATATATATACAGTATTTGTTTTTTATTTATTTATGTATTCCAAGAGGAATGACCCGGTGCCTGCAAAATGTGCATCTCCATCCGTTGCGCAGCCAGCAACAGCCAAGCTCGGGAGGTTTCGCAGGCATCTTTTCGACGGCGCAGTAGTGCAGCACTTTCCGTTTCCGCGTCGCAATCCGTCGGACCATGGAGACGGAAGTGGGAACCTGATCCATGATCAAACCGTGATAAACCGTGTGCTGATTGGCAAACGATGCTGATGAAACAACCTGAAGTGTCATGATTTGTTATGATCCTCTGAACGGATGCTGTGGCATCTGTACAGTGCGAAGCTCTAATGTATACGTCTGGAGATTGTGAAAGCTCAGCAAATTGTGAGCAGGAGACACAGTTTTTTCCACAGGTAACGAGTCAACTCCAACGAGAAGTGGCACCAAACAGCTTCAAGCTCAGCCTAGGATTACTACGATGATAGGTTTCACAAGATCGTTGGACGAGCCCAGAAACACAGCTGCAGAAGTTCAGCTCCGAGCGTTTCATCCTTCTTTTCGCTCTCCTTGGCACAAAGCTCTCCCCGAAACATGTCAGGAATTCTATACAGGTCTGTCCCCAGTTCCATCTGGATATATCTGATATATATCTGATATCAAATGATATGAATATTATCAGCTTCACCATGTTTCACCATGGTTCACCATGTTTCACAACGATCCACCGAGTCGGAACCGGTTGTTTCACCATTTTGGTCCGCCGCGGCTCGGATCTTCGACGCCTTGCAGCGGCGGCACCTTCGTAGATGGCACGCTCTGCGGGGGTGTGGTACAGGGCCACCAACTCCTCCTGAACCTCACCGGAACTCAAAGATACTCAAAGTAACATGAAGTAACTAAAAGTAATAACTATATAAATAATAACTATATAAGTAATAACTATACAAGTAATAACTATAAGTAATAACTATAAGTATGAAGTAACTCTTATCATGGAATCAGATCCAAAAATCCAACCAAATTCGAGTGGTCAATTCATGCCATGATCAGAATCAATCAATAAATCAACTGACTCTTGGTTTCAAGTGCTTCTCAACGTCAACGCCAACGTACATCTCCGGAGACTTTGCGAAACTCTCGGTGCCTCCAAACCCTTTAAGTCGCCATTTGCTCGTGCCAGGTAATCCAGAGCTCGTTGTGCCTGGATTCATGCCATGATCTTGTCAGATTGTCTCCCCACTGAATGATACAAAAATATACACAACGTGTTGAGAAAATATTGATCGCTGAAAGTGTTTGAAAATCGGCGAGGATCCAAGTCGAAATTTCTCGCATTCATCCCATTCATCCCATTCGTCCCTTTCGTCCCATGTCAAGCCGTCCTTTTGCCGTCCTTTTGCATCGCCAAAGTACTAAATCTTTGGCATCCAACTGGCGCCGGAAGACCAGAAGGTCCACATCGCTGCAGGCCCTCACCAGCTTCGCCACACTGGTGAAATCATCCAGGCACGGTGTCCCAGTGAGCCCCCACAGTGCCGTCTCTGTATCCTTAACGGCACTTGAGGCAGCGACTTCCCACGTGGCAGCCATGCAGCCATGTTGCCCGAAAAAACACTCTAAACATCTCTAAACATTTAGAGACTCTAAACACCAGAGCCGTTTCACACTCTTCACCTACTATATCATGATTAATGTTATATCATCGTTTTAGTATGTTAGAATGTGATAAACTATGTCTATGTTCAGAGATGTCTTCCCAAGGCCCTGTACCATCTAAACCATGACATGAAGCCAGTTCAACAGCAACAACCTGTCTACCCATGTCTACCCTGCTGTCGCCAGGGTTCTTTAAGTTCCTGCAAACGGAGAGCTGACTCCAGATTCTCGTGAAACTCGTCCACTACGATACGAGAGAGACTGAGACTTCCTTATGGCTGGTGCATGCTGATGTCATGCCAGAAAACTCCCAAAAAAACAAAGGCCCAAAGCCCTGCGACAGCACCGAACAAAAAAAAAAACGCCACCCACAGCTGCCACAGCGGTTTGCAAAAAGCGACATTTCTAAGGATTGTGCGGAGAGTGTCAGCAATACCTCTTGTTCCGTCCCCATCCTGCAAAGGTTGGAGTGGAGGCAACAGGTTCAAAAGCCAACCAAAAGTTTCAAGATTCACTGAAAGAATCTACACAGAATTATGATTAATCATTCTTATATGCATTGATAGTATATGATTATATGTATAATATGTATTAATGTATTGTTTTCGTTGGTTCAAAATTTCAAGAGCTCTTTTCTTTAGCTTCCCCAGCCTCGCGACGCCGCTTTGGGCTCAAGAGCTCGATGGGTGCCAACAGCAGCGAAGGACGTGCGCCTGAATTGATCCCGTCACCCGTGATGGCGCCGGTACCAATGAAACCACAAATTGCTGGTTCTTTGCATTTAACATCATTTATATAACATCATTAAGTATCATTAGATATCATTAAATATCATTAATTATCATTATTTGACCACATTAAACCATCCATTTTGGCAGGTCATGATTTTGATCCACACCCAACCAGTTGGCAACATCGAAAAACCTCAGCCTGGATCTGAGATTTCTCGACCATCCCATAGCTGCACATCCACCAGCCCTGGTTCCAAGAACTTGGTGACCTGGCAACATGGAAAGCTATCCGGGCTATCCGGATCCCTATCCGGCAAGCTGCTATGGAATCTATGGATATTGAAATCTATTGATGTTTATGAAATGAAATGGTTTATGGGCCTGTAGGGTGCAGTAAATGAGCCCCACTAAATCATCGAACTGAAACAACCCCACAGCAAAAGTCCCAACATAAGTTGGCAATGATGTCCATGATCATGTCCCAAGGACGTTCCAATGTTTAAACAATCCTCCAATAGGCCTAAGACATGCTACTAGTATCCTACTTCTACGGTAGTTCGACTATGGAAACATATGGAAACCTTCAAGTGCTGAAGCACTATGAAGCACTTCTACCCGGCTGCCCCGTTTAATCTGGATTAATCTGGCCTCCTGCTGCCACTGCTGCAAGAGACGTCCAGGCATCAAAACCAATGACCGGTGGAGGCTCCGCTTGGCACTGCCTTCGCAAGTTCAACTTCAGACCATTCGGACCAGAACAGGACCAGAACAGGATGGAACAAACACGAAGAAAGAAGATAGAAGAAGAAAGATTCAAAATGATTCAATTGATTCAATTGATTCAATTGATTCAATCTAAAAGATCAAAAAGGAGGTAAGATGACATGATGAGGTAAGCAAGATGCAAATATGATGTAAATATGCTCAAGCATACTGAAGATCGCTTGAGTTCTAAGGTCCGAAAGTCTCAATGCAAGGAGTCTTCCTCCTTATTGTTGGTGCTTCTCATGGCTGCAACATCAGTTGAGATGTTCACGAATAATGAGAAGCTGCTTCTTGAGAGTTGACATCTATGAATAGCTTGATTCAGCTTGATCCTGTTGCTACTTAGTTTGGAAACAAAGTTCCAATGCCAAGATGTTTGCCGCTGTCCTCTATCAGAAGCCACCAATGCCAAGGTAACGGCGGTCTTTCCCTCAGCACAACGGCATGCAGCACACGTTCAGATCTTTCAGCAGTCTGTCACTGCCAAAACCAGGGCATCCCACAGAGCCGACATGATCAGCGAGGAGACCACCTAGGCACACGGATGGTGACAAACAACAGGACGCGGAAAGAAGACTGGAAACAAAATGAGATGAAAATCATGAGAATCATGAGAATCTGGTGGTTGAAACTGGCAGAATCCAAAAGGAAAGAAACTGGAAATCTGAAATCTGCAGTGATGCCTTCGAAAAGGAAGCCATACTCAGCTCCACACCTTTGGGTTTAAAGGCTCGCTGTACCCGCGCTACGCCACGGCAGCGTACTGCCTAGCAACTAGGGCTCTCAAAGCCGTTAAAGCAACTGTTTATATTATCAAATATATTCAAATTATATAGATCTAATATGAGGATACGTGAGGCCATGTCAACAAATTCCGATGGCAGAATTAAGAGTGCTCCTCACAACTGGCCAGGGCCAAGGCATGATTCTATGCAGTCTGTGCACCGTTGCTAGGCATAGCAAGCTTTATGAACCGCTGCCACTACTGTCACTTTGAGCTGACTGAAGAAATCCGGCAAAACGAATCGATTCATACTCCAAAGCAGACACCAGTTTCGGCCTACCTCTACCAAGATTTGTTGTGCAGCATGAGGAGGTTGCACTGCAGGAAGAAACCTGTTGGCCGGTTGGCCACAGCAAAAACTCCAAATTTCACCCCTCGCAGCGGCGACAGAAGCGAAGCAGTTTCTATCTGCACATCCAAGTTACTCTCTGCTGGCACCCAGCAACAAAGGTTCGCTTCGGGCTTCACATGCCTGCGTTTTCGGCTCGATTTTGAAGTCACATTTTTGAGACCATGAAGTGGCGCAAAAGCAGAGATTTCTGATGATTTTCGCCCCACCTGCATCCATGCTAAGGATTGCAACTGATGCTGCCGCAAAGGCAAGAGTAGCCCGTCTGGCACTTCCGCCTGTTGCAGGCGCATTAGTGATAGGAGCAGTTGAAAATAGTTGGAAAGTAATGGAAAGTACCAATGTCTTCCCTTGAGACATTTTATTGATTTTCATGGATTTCATGGAATGTCTACATCTTTTCAATTTCTGCCTGGCACGGAGCTGTGTTACGTCACCAACCTCTGCATCCAAACAGTTGGAAAGAAGTTGAAAAGGCTGGGGAGGAGGTTCCTGGCGGCACCGTGTCAAAACACACAGCGATACAGCACCTTTGTTTCGCTAGCCTCTTTCAACCATTTCAACTCTTTCAGCTGAACCTCAAGGCTCTTTGCGGATATCATTGATATCATTGACATTCACATCTTCAATTTGTTCCTGCCAAATGCCATTTGTCTTGACCCTCGACACCTCAAATAAAAAGCCAAGGATATCCAGGGGATGGTCCCCTTTGAAAGGCCACAAGGTGCAGATTGAAAACTCGTCCGCACCTGGATCGTGCACTCCTTCTCCATGTACCCACCGTCAATATCCAAGCTCAGGGGGGGTCTGGTGGCCTTTTGCCCTGTGTTTTGTTGGGTAACATCGTTATGGTTCAAACAACAACCTTTACCGCCTAAGACTTTAGCCTATAACTGGAACATTTACCCCCCCAAAAAATAGAATGGGCAGCAAAATCTAAAACATCTAGAAGGAACGGAGATTTCGAAGAAGAAACTTGGACCCGGCTTCTTAAAACCTTCAAAACGGTGGACTTTTGTTTGATCGCTTTGGCCCCTCAGCCTGGAGCCGCTGCCAAAGCCTCCACTCACGCCTCAGAGATGAAGTTGGGCGTGCGATGACTCTGTTGTCCAAGGCCCCAAGGCAAATTCCACGTTACACAATGTTGACAATCTTTTTGCACAATTTTGTAACGTGGGGCTGTGCTGAAAATTCGAACTGGCAAAAAATGATATATCTGAGCTGATCATGGATTGCAAGTGGCATGTTACTAAAGAAACTGTCCTTGAATTGGTCTGAAGATGTCTGAAGATGTCTGAAGATGTCTGAAGATGTCTGAAGATGTCTGACGTCTGAAGTGTGTTGCATTCTTCGCTTTGTTAACAGCTCCAGAAGTCACCTCCAATGCCCGGTAGACTCCGCGGGCGCCGCAGCCTGCTACATTTTTTTCTTCTATGAGTTCTTGACAACACCACGTTTGCCGAATTAGGATGGAATGAAAAAAAACGGAAACTAAGCAGAAACATGATGAAACCATGTAGGTTACATGTAGGTTCCATGCAGGTTATGTAGCTTTGTACATCTTCAAACTATTTCAAACCAATAGAACGAATATGTGCATATATGATATATATATATTATTGTATATATATTTGTATATATGTGTGATAGGTAGCCCCCAAAAATCGCTGCTTCAAAAAATCGTCATGTCGAGATGGCCTCAAAGGCACGGAATTCCGCGTGGTCGGCTCGGGCTCCACCTGTCGCCAGCGAAAAGTTGGAGATTCACCACATAAATTGACGAAGGAAGATGAAGATTCTGATGACATTTGGCATTTTCATGATAATTATCATTAGATTATTGATGACATTAATCATATGATGAATAATTCACAAAATGTTGAAGATTCTGAAGGCTTTGGTAATCTTTGATGTATTTTGATGTATTCAACATATTCAACATTGATGGTCTGGATATGAGGATTGATATTTATACCTCTGACATTCCCAAATATTCCCACCGCATTTTCTTGCACTATATGAATAATTACACCTGCAAAAATCTGTTCAAAAATCTGTAAAGTTGTCACCACTTTTTTCGTTTGACATTACCCTGTGGCGCCGCTCCGGGCCACGCTGGGCCTTGGGCCTAGTCTCCAATCGCCAGGAGAAACGGAGCTGCGGACCCAGCTGCCACGGCGGATAGATGGCCTGACGCCGCCGCGCTGAGGCCGTGCCGCGCTGAGATCGAGATCGGGATCAGCGGGCTGAGGCTCTGGCGAAGCGAGATCTTTGAGCCAAATCCAAGGGATCCGCAACAACCTGTGGCTGCACAAAGATGGCCATTGTTGCTGGCCGTTGTTGCTGGCCGTTGAATGGCCAACCTGTGCTGGCCACCATGTGACTCAATGCAAGTGGACTTGAGATTTGATGTTTTGTTATGTTTTGTTCATTGAATCCTCTTAAAATCATCCGCTAACGCAAGTGGTCTTTCAAAAGGCGTTGGCTCGTCCAAACATCTGGGAACGGCGGCTCGCAGCTCCAGACTCAGTTTCCGAGAACGGGAGGTGTCCATCTCCTGCCGTCAGTGGAAGACCTCTCAATCTGCAGGAACTTCATAGTACGACAAGTATCTATACTGGAACATACTGGAACATACTGGAACTGGTAGTGGAACGGGCACCTTGCTGACGATGTACCATCAAACTCATGAAATGCTTTAGACATATTATGTATATATATATATATGTGTATATATATATTGTCGTATTTGAACATCAAACTCCAACTGTTGGAGACGGTGGGTAGCAAGGATTTTGAAGAATTCATGCAGGCCTCTGCGCAAAGAGCAGCACAAATTCTCAATGGTGAAGACATTGAAGGTTCTCCCTGGCTGGGAAAAAATGCAAAAATAGATCCATTGATAGAGCTAGGTTCCCTATGGTTCCAGCAGATTCAAACACTCTTTTTCGTCTTTTGTCGCGCATTCAATTTATTTGAGTGGCGGAAATCCACATGAAAAGGTATCTAAGCTGCCGATGTTGTCGCTGAGCCGATGTTGTCTCAAGGTTGTTCTACTCTTCGCTCCAAAACAACCATAGTCTGCAGGGTACAGCAATACTCTGCGCAGGATGTCAATAGATGTCACTAAGCTCCTCGTACGCTTGGGCCCAGCTTCAAAACAAAACCTTCTTGAATTTTGTAATCTGAAAGTGTACTTCCATTTTCTAGTTGAACTACCGAGTGGAAAAGCTTCTGCTGGTCCGGAGGAATATCTTCTTCTGCTTGAATCTTCACTTTGACGCTTTCAATGCTATCGTCAGCTTCAACATCCAAAGTCAGCGTCTTGCCACTGGGGGTCTTCACCGATATCTTCATGGCATTTGACTTCTGAATTTGGTATTTTGATGATCTTTGATGTACTTTTGTGGCTCTTGAGCCAAAAACCAAACAGCCAGAAGGATTCGATGAAAAAGTCCAACCGAGAAGGAAGCAGCACCAGGCACCAGGTTTCACTGCGCCTCCAAATCTGAAGCGAGCGGCACCTGTCACTGATTTCAGTATGCTGAAGTGTAGAAACACGAGAAACACATGAACATCATAAACATCCTGAACACGCCAAAAAAAAAAACATCCGACAGATTCCTGAAACAACACATGGTCAATGTCGGCCTCGTGCCAGTCGGTCGTCAGTGGTCCAAGGTGTTGAACCTCCAACAGGTCATAGGCCTCAAACGGTTTTCGTAACGGTTTTCGTAACGCGAAACGACAGTAACGACGCGAGTTGATTCTGACTATATCTGACTATGACCTTTTCCATCCCGTCACCAATGTCACTTGCATCATGAATTCTGGAACTCTCAGTCCACATACAGGTTGACAATCTCAGAACATGTTGTCAATGAAATGACAAAATATGCAGACATGTCAGATGACTGTCATACCTGATCGATACTCAATCCAGAAGCTCATGATGCTCATGCTACGGGTTTTGACAGTCTTGATCCGTATATTCTACAGTTGTTTTACAGCGTGTTACGGGAAAAAATGTGAGTGTCACATGGATCTTGTAACATTGCATTACCAGTTGTAGTTCTATAGTTGTAGATTGTAGATGTTGTAGGTTCTAGTAGCGTTCTAGTTGTGCGATGTATCTTATCTTATCATATCTTGCTTTATGATACGTCACCGTTATTTTATCACAACTCCGGTGAAACTTCTCCGACGCAGCCTGCACCATCTCGTCACTGGCATGGGCCAGGCAGGGATGCCAAGCAGCGCCTAGTGTCACAGTAAGATGCTGTAAGATGCTGTAAGGATTTGACTGTGGGATGTTGTACTCCGGTTTCCACTTTTTGGATCTTTTTGGTACCAGGTAACTAGGATAACTAGGATCCACCAGCTCCAAAGGCAATCCAAATGGGAGCGACAGCACATCTCAGGCTACGACCACAGATCTTGCAGCCTGGGCGACCAAAGTTGACAAGATCTATGAATCTATGAGATCTGTATGTTGGATCTTTATGGATCTTTGAGATCTTTGAGATCTTTGTTTCTTTGGTGCTGGTTTGGTGGAAAGATTGATGCTTCAACAAACTGATCTTGTATGATTTGTATGATCACGCTGTTGCGCCATTCAATACAAAAAGGAATCACAGATCCGAAGAAATGCACTCAAATACACTTGGCATACAGGAGACAACCCATCAAATCAATTGAAACTCAAATTCCATTTGTTCCACAGATTCGGGTATCTTTGAGTGTTGTGGGAGCACTCTGAGCACTCTGAGCACTCTGCATCACTCTGAAATTTCTTCACGTCCAAGTCACACTGAGTCTGAGCTTCGTCAGCGACCTCTTCGTCTCCACCAAGTGCCTCTCCGCAGCGCAGCTGCGCGCGCAATGCCACACGCGCCGTGTGGCCTCAAACTTCCCAATTCAGTGGTTCACTGCGTTCAGTGGTTCACTGCGTTAACGTTCCAAGTCGTTCAAGATCCGGGGAGATTCTCCAGAATGGGATACTAACGATACTAACGTATTTTTTACCATTCTTCTCTAGAGAAAATGATGGCGAACATTGGTAAACGACTTTCAAACTATTGGATTTTGATGGATTTGGGGGCTGGTCCTGAGGCTGCCACAAACTGTGAGGCCCTCTGTCTCTGCCATGACCTTTGTTTCAAAACGTCTTCAAGCCCAACGGGCCCACCGGGCCCACCCGGCCCAAGCCATCCAAGCATCCCGGCGCACTTGACATTTGCTGTGCATCATCCATCTGCTCAAACGGTGACATGCTCCGCACGGTTGTCAGTTGCTGTAAGTTTCTGCAAGTTGCTGTAAGATCTGACGGGTTTTTTACCTTTGCGAATGTTAAACGCTTCCTGTGATGTTTGCACAGCTCAAAGGAATGACTAGGCTGTAAAGAGTGGGTCTGGAGTGGTAGAAGTCACTGGCTCATGGCTCTTAATTAGCTTGCTCTGTTGCAAGCTTCAGTCAGAGAGTCGGAGGGAATGCATCACAGGGTGACTTGCAGCTGCTGAGGAACTGCCAGACTGCCTGCAACATCCTTTCACTAAGGAATGAATACTATAACAACCATTGACAATCTATGACCGCGATATGCCAAGATGTCTCACGTCAGCAAAATGTCTCAAGTCCATAGGAAATCCCTTCATTCAAATCCCGCAACATCCTATGAGTTCGCGAAGGCGAAGCATCGAAGCATCGAAGCATCGAAGCATCGGCATGTCCAACATGTCATCGCCATGTCATCGCCATGTCCTGTTGTTCCATCACCTTCGACATCTGCACCTGTGGTTTCTGGTCCTGCCGGCTTGCTGGCTCAACGTGAGTCGGTTGTGACAGTGAAAAAACGTTTTAAAAAAAAAACGGCCTGTATTCTCCTACAGTATCCTACAGTACTATCCATTTGTCCTACAGTACCCTGTAGAGTACCCTGTAGTATCCTACATTATCTCAAATTATCTCCATGAACTTCATGTTGGAAGGTGAAAAGCATGCCCAAAGAACCATTAGCAAGAGATTTAGGTCAAAAAATGTGAAAACATGTCAGAAGTCAGAACTATGTAAGTGGAACGTAAGCGGAATAAGTGGTTTGGACCCAGTCCAGCCAACGGTAGCGCTTCTGCAAGTCAGCAAGGTGTGCCTGGAAGCCCATCACAAGACATCCCGAGACATTTGCAGAGGGACCAACTGATATAAGGCAAATTAAGGCAATTCATGACATATGGGATATCTAACCCATATCTTTTTTGATTTCTGTGTTTCAACATTTCGCTCCAAATAGATTATGATTGAATAGATCCCTCCAAGATTGGTTGGTGCATATTGGTGCATTGATTCTGCGCCAGAGTTCCTGGGCACCTCGATGGAGCCCTTCATTTGGGACGTAGAGCCACCATTCGCCACCACTGCTTTGACCCAGGCCCAGGTAAAGGCCTCAGAGACACTGGACATACTCCGGCCTCATATTCCGACCAGAAGCCCAAAGCCCCGTCAGGGTCAGCTCATCTCAACTCACTCAACATATGGAATCATATTGATACTTGTCGCATCTTGTCGCTATGTTCTCACTTTTTCTCCAGTCTCCATGATTTGCGCCGAAAAGTGCTGTGGGCATCCCGACTCCTTGTATCACTCCTTCAATCGGGAGTTCTGCACACCATTGAGCCTATACCGATGATGCCGATGTTCAGATTTGTTCAGCATCCGACAACTGCGACAACTGGTGAATGTGACCGGATTAGACCCGATTTCACCGCCTGTTGGCATGCGGAAAAGCAAGTCAAGGAGCAGTCGAAGCTGGTGGCCTGTGCGCTGTGCGCTGTGATGCGCTGTGCTGCGGGTATCATTGTGGTTCATTGTGGTTCCATATCTTCGCAGCTATGGCTCCATATCGTTGGGGGTGATCAAATAAAATCAAATAAGATCAAATAAGGCCACAAAGTATATATAAAAAAAGTTGATCTATGTTGATCTTACTTGTGGAATCTTGTGGATGTGGGATCTTACTTGGAAACTGGAAATCACCAGACGGGGATTTCGTGGAATGAGATGCAACTCTTGGGGCCTGCATGGTTCGCCCTGCCAGTGGAACACTGGGAAGTACCTTGGAACCAAGCAGCTCAACAGCTCAACAGCAGCTCAACATGACGATCTGAAATTCGTGCTTTACAGTACTTGTGCTTTTTGGTCTTCCGCTCTATGATGAAACTGGATATTCAGTGACTCAATGTCAAGACGAGTCAAGACGAGTCGAGACGAGTCAAGACCATTTTGTGTGGTCACTGATCCAGTCAACTGCCCGCATTGCCAAGACTTAATGGAGTCCAATGGTTGCGCAGAGTCGCACGTGGGAAAAGTACAAAAAAAGTAGCTTCATCTGGAAAAGATGAAAAGCAGATCACAGCACCAACCCGCAGACCTCCAAAGAAGGAAAGAAAAGAGAGCAAAAACGAGTGCAAAAACATACAAAAACTGGATGCACCAATCGTCGGGCTCTTGGATGGAGACCAACAGGCAAGTCCTGCAGGGGTGGGCACTTTGTGACAGCGCAAATTTCAAATTCGAGCGGCACAACTGGGCTCAATTCCTTGAGGCGCTGTCCCTCCGCACTGCCATTGCTAGCTTCGTTCGATTCGTGAAAATCTGAAAGATGGATAAAGATGGATAAAGATGGAATGATATTGACAAATGCTAGAGGAATCTCAGAGATGCCTTTGACCTTGCACTGGGAAATGGAGTCTGTCACAGTTCTTCGGAGTTCTTCGGAGTTCTTTGCCCATCCCATGGTCCCATGACACTCCTCCTCCAAACCAGAGAAGGCCGGGGGCTGCATTTGAGCCTCACACATCTGCCATCATCTGACATCTGACACTTGGTGAATGCGCCGGTCAATTCTGGTCATCCTCTGAGTTGGCCACCCACTGGAAGATGGCCGGCTGGGACTTGGCTCCTGTCCAGTTTCGCTGTGAAGGCACTGAAGGCTGCTGTAACGTTTGCCAAGAAAAATCGACCTGGAAAGAATTTTGAATCGATAGAAATCGAGTTCTGCCATCAGCCATCACTCCTAAACCTGGCAGTGAGGAATGGCAGCAATCCAGCACCACAGTGGCATTGCCTTACTCCACACCATCACCAAACCCCAATCCCGAACCGGCCCGAACCATGCTCAGAGCAACTGGAGATTCACTGGGTGCAATACAGCCAGCAGGAAGACTCGAGAGCGCAATGGATACATCCATAAGCGAAATGAGCCTTGCCCAACAAGGGATCAACAAGGATCAACAAGGGATCAACAAGGCACACATTTCTTGGTTGATTGGTGGGGGAGGGTGTCTTAATGTCATCCATTCATCTCCGCCTGTAGCCGCTTCCAAGGTCATCCTTTTGTGATGCCATTGCCTGCATCTGCTGACATTGGTGCCATGTGTTTGTTCCGCGGCTCCGTGTCTCCGTGATGTCAACCCACCGTCTGTGTCCCAGGCGGCATAGTCAATGGGAACCAAGCACGACTCAAAGGTCCCAACACCTCGCGGTGTGCAAAAATGCGAAAAGTGCAAAAAGCATCCAAAAGCAATAGCCTTCCCATTGCTAGTCATCGCTATTGCTATTCAATCGCTTTTCGCTCCAAAATGGACGCAATCTGAGGTTCCCTGGCCATGTGGCAATAGAAGGCCATAACCTGAGGCCCACGGGACGTGTAACTGGTCTTAGTCCCTGTCAGTCCCTGTCAGTCCCTGTCAGTCCCTGTCAGTCCCTGTCAGTCCCTGTCAGTCCCTGTTCTCGTGGCGTGGCACCTGAGAAGTACAGGAAGATCGAGTCTCCAGGTTCGGCATCCTGCACACTTTCGCCAAATTTTCCGGGTGGGTGCAGATGATGCAGATGGCACCTTCAGATCCAACTGAAAAACAAATCCGTGATTCGAGTCGCAGTGTGTCCTGCGTGAGCCATTGCAGACCTCAGCACTCGACTTTCAACTTCACTATTTGAACGCCTTTCATAGGCCACGCATGGGACGGCTGAAGAAACGGATTTTTCTCTGGGGCCCCCTACTCTCGGTAATCACGGCTGCGGTGGGTCTTCGCTGCTGTGGCATTGGGCAATTCTTGCTGCCATCAACCAAGAAACGAACCTCGCAAGGGATCTGGCCGTAGACCACAGATCCAGACAGATCCAGGAGATGTAATGGAGATGTCATGTTTTCTGTTGAGTTTGGAGAGGGAATCGTCAGCAAGGCAGTGCCAAACCCATTCTGTGTGCACTACACAATGCAGGAATTTCAGTGTCGCCGTGAAGTTCTCCTGTGTCAAGACATGTCAAGACGCCCAGCCTGGCTCTCGGAGAATTGCAGAGTGTGCCGCAGCAAACTCAAGACCTCGCCGATTGAATTGATTGGAATCGATTAACGACGCCACGGGTCAAGCCCCATCACATCCCATCACTCTCAATGATCCTTGCCAATCCTTGCTCAAATTCCCACTGATACCAGAACTTACATGTTTGCGACTGTGACAGCAAACTTTTGGGTTACTGGCAGTGGTTTTGTTCGTGACGTTCTCTGCTTCGTTCCACTTTTGCTAACTGATTTCCTAAAGTTTTCTGCTCCTGTGACCTCTGTGACCTCCGTAATCCCATGGGCCCCATGGGTCCCCACGTTCCAAGCGTCGTTGAATGCACCCAACAGAGGTGCATTCCTTGGAGTCGGGTTTCCACAGTCGGTCAGTGAAGGTCTGTGAGTTCTATGAGGACCTGCCTACACCTTTGGCTCTGCGAGGCTTATCTTGTATAAGATTAGGAGAGGAAGCTGACATCAAAAATGAGCTCAAACTGTCCAAAAATACTCTTGTACATTGGAGAGCAGGACATTCCAAAACATCATCTCTCATCATCTCTCCAAAGTCTTAGCGGTCTGGAGGACAAGCTGAATATGAAATGGCCGCGGCACCATTCCCATGGCAACCAGTTCCTTTCCATTTTTGCGCTTTTCAACGTGCAGGTATGTGCAGGTCAAACCAATCTCTGCAAGTGGAGACATGAGATGAAAGCTTCCAAATGAAGCATAAATCAATGAATTTCAATGATATTAATATTAAAAAGTTAAATCACAGGAAGGAAGTCATGAAAGCAGGAGCTCATCTTGGCTCTGATGTAAAATCAGATGATATCAGATGTGTTCAGTCGACATGTCCTACTTGATCCAATGTTCATAACTTCCTCCACGCTGAGATCAGCAAGTGTAGGCTCGAAAATTTCAAAGTTACTGATCCAAAACTGAATTCATCGTTCAGAACCCTTAGTGCTGCCTATGCATCTGTGCATTGCCCTCTGTATTTCCATAATCCCACTGTAATGGATTTAGGTGGATTAGATGGATTAGATGGATTTCGTACCGTAATTCGTTTGCATCCTAGTTCGTACTTTGGGCACTGCTCATGCGCATCTTGCGCGTAGCAACCGGGTTGCATCTTCGTCTGAAGTTTTCATAACTTCAGCAACAGACCCAGCTTGAGATTTGACCAATTTGACCAATGTCAGGCTGGTGAACGATGCTGTGCAACAGTAAAAAAATGTAAAGACGAAGCGCTTCATTTTCTTAAAGAGTACAAATATATTTACAAATCATGACTTTCAACGTTGATCTTGCAACTGTTGTGAAGAGCTTCATTGTGACCCATGGGTCTTGTAAGTTTCTATTTCCCACCGTTGGCATCAGACGTCAACAGCAGACTCTTCTGCCCCAGATGTAGTAGGGCAGGAGCAGCGAAGTTGCCAAGTACCCAATCCCGATCCAAAGATTCCTAGCAGAAAATGTTAAGACATGTTAAGGACTGCATTGACTGCATTAGATTCTTGGGGCGAGAAAAGCGACTACAGCAGGCCAAAAAGAGAATCAAAGCAATCAAAGCAATCTCTCTCCGCTCTCTCCCCTATGATGTTTGACGGTCGGTGGGCTCTCGTCTCAGCTTCCGTGGCCAAGGGATCAAGGGCTGAAAAAAGTGAAAACAGAAAGAAAACGAAAAGGACAGAGGGCTGAAAAAAGGACAGAAGCTTTGAACATTTGAACGAGCTACTGTGACTGAAGAACAAATATTGACAGAGCTTCAGCCACAATGAGGGACCCTGCGAACACGATGGCCACTACAAAAGTCTTCCCCCAGTCCAGCAACCAAGTCTTGCTGGAGATGCTGGAGCTGCGAGTTGTACAGATTGTACAGGTCTTGTCACACAGGAAGAAGAGACCGTTGAAGCTGGGCCAAAGCCATCCGAAAACCAAACCGGCCGAAACGAGGACGTAGATCAGCAAAACATCGGCGTCTGCACCTGCTCTCGAAATTGAAAGAAGAAGTTCCAAACGATATGACACAGCACTTGACACCATAAAGGCCACATAGGTCCAAGAAAGATGGGGCGAGGGCAACAAATCACAGAGCTCTTCACGGAGTGGCCCTCGCACAAACTGGGTGAAGGCCTCCTTGCTGCCGTACCACGAATCGATTGCACCGTGGATAAAGGCATTGTCAAAGTCGGAAACACATGACACCTTCTCCTCAGTCCGCAGACTCAGTTGCATAATATGTCGCAACTTCATGCAGAGCTTGCATATTATGCATTGCATATGCACAAGTTCCACAAGTTCCACAAGTTGCAATCCTTTGTGCCTTCCAACTTTGCACAATGGAAAAAAAATCTTGGCACAAGTGTTTCGACATTCATGATTCAACACGTCGAAAAAGAGCCTTTTAAACAGTCATAAATGTGTCATAAACGTGTCATAAATGTGTCATAAACGTTCAAACGGTTTGGGAATTTGGGTTGTGCCAAGCTGCCAGGTCGAAGGATTTCAAGTCGTCCATCAGCTGCGTCTTCTCCCCATAGTTCCGACGTGTTACATGTACCATGCACATGACTAAAGGGATCATGAGAAGGCTGAGAAGGCTGACCAACTGCAGATTTCCGGACCTCACAGCTGGTGAAGACGTGAAGAGTTTTGTCATCGGGTTGTGAGATGTGAAAAGCCAGATCAAAAAGATCAGATCAAAACTCACCAAAAGTCGCGACTTGACGACTTGGTTTTACAATGACGTTTCATCACGTTTCCCAATGACCATTTTGCCGAGTGGCCGGAAATCTGAATCGAAGCTGACCACGGCCCACCGAATGAGTGAGAGCACAAACAGAATGCATGCTCCAACAAGAACCGAACGTTCTAAGAACCTGCATGCTCTGCTCTGTTGTCACATGTTCTCATCATGCTCATCATGCTTGCGATCGGTTCAAAATGTTCAAAGCGAAGGATGGGATTTGGGATTTCGATGGATTTTTTGGCCCAAAAACACCCCATTTGACCATTTGTTTGATCTCCTAAAAATCCCAAAACAGCAAAAAGGAAAAGAGTGAAATTTTGGAAATCCAAGAAAGATGGGCAAAACTCGAGAGACAGCGGCAGGAATTTGATCTTCCCAGTTGGGTTGGAGTTGCGAAATGCCACGAGCTCAAACAAGCACCACAATGAACCAAAATATGGTGGCGAGTACAAAACACGAAGCTCCTTTGATACTGAGAGACAGCCCCCGATGCTGTAAATCCCACGCTGCAGCAGCTCATTGTCTGATTGATGAATGCTCGTCATGTCCAAAAAGCAGATCTGCCGTCGCAAGGACAAATAAGGTGACGAGCAAACACCAAGAATCATTGAGAACCATCCAGCAATGATGACCCATGGACTGATCGGCGCGTCGTATTCCACATCTGCAATCCTAATGCTCGCGATGGTGAACGGCGGTATGATGTCAAGCTACTCCTTGATCCGGTGCCGGTGCAGGCGAAACGGCGAAACGGCGAAACAAAAGCAGTCCACTGTGCCCCAAAGCTGACCAGGCTGACCCTCGAAAGTATCGGATCTTTTGGGGTAAAGAAAAGATTTGCCACAATTCTGTAGGAATTTTGCCCAGTTTCCAAACACAGGATGAACGCCACACCACACAACCAACCAAGCAATCCATGAAGCCTACCTGATTGCCTTGGTGCACAAGTGGTGCACAAGTGGTGCACAAGTGGTGCACAAGTGGTGCACAAGTGGTGCACAAGTGGTGCACAAGGGTTCTTCTCAACTTTCTCAACTTCTGAACTTCTCATACTTCTCAACTTTTCCTTGTAGGAATTTGAAGTATCTTTCAAATCATTTCGAAACAAGAAACAATGAAACCGTGATGATTTACCAACGAAATTCCATAAGTGCCATGAAGAAACCCATGAAGCCTTTCTGACGGGTTGCATGACCAAGGACAGAATCTTCCCTCTGCCCGGAGTTCTCCAAGTGTGAGATATGAAGAAATCAAAGCCGGCGACCTTTTGCGAACGCTTCCACACTTCTGCTCCACGGGCTGTGTGCCGAAAGAGGCCTGAAATGCTCCAAAGCTGGAGGTTCCAAAAGGATTTATACGCCTCTTTCGTGCAAAATTAAATCAAAAGATTGATCTTTGACAGAAGCAGAAATAAACAATGGCAGCACCAATTCCCTAGGTATATCATGGTATATCAATGATGCATAATTTGTATATCAAAGGTATATCTCAGTATTATATCTCAGTTGTATCATTTTGCTGAGGCACTGGGCGAAAGCCAAAGACGGGGTTGCTGGAGAACTTTGTGGAACGGGATGCCACGGAGGATCTCAGTATCCACCTGCAAGGTGAACTCCATCATGGTCGTCACAGCCAAAAAAAGTTCAAACTTCAAACACACATTCGAACACATTCAATCCACGTTCAATCCAAAATATGCCAAAATGCAAATAATATCAAATAATGGTGCAAAGCTTTGGCATTTTGGCACCTCTAGATGTTTTATTTGCATCAACTTCGGCTGCTTGGGTGTTGTGGAGGGGTTCGAGAACACCCGCTCCAGTGCCCAAGAAAAATTGGAGAACGACGTCGACACCTGGCGCAAGACAAGACACGAGACCACAGCTCGACAAGAGACTTCAGACATCTTCAGACATCTTCAGACATCTTCAGACACTCCATGGAAACTTTTGAGGAGACTCTGACACGGTGACAGCAAAATCCTGAAAACAAATGCTACAAAACATTGCGAATGTGAACAAAAAAACGAAAAGCATCAGAAAAGCATCAGAAAAGCATCAGAAAAGCATCAGAAAAGCATCAAAGTTGAGCTGATTTGTTTTTTTCAAAACTTGTTCAGCTGCGTTGCCAGGGAGGCCTGGGATTTGGACCCACACGTCACACAGGCGTTTCGGATCTCAGACAGGTCGTCTTCGTTTTGTATTCCGAGTCCGTCTGTCCTCGTTCCGTCCATGGATTCCATGGCTGCCGGACTTGATGTCCAGAGGATGTCCAGATTGCTTTAGGCTTTCGTTCATTTTCATCTGTTTTCCTCTGTCTTCCTCTGTTTTCATGTCCTGAAATTCAGGTGTGTTTTGCTTCTGAATATGTTGGCACGAGCAAACAAACCATGACCCATGACAAAATTTCGCACCCGCGAGCTGTGGGGGAAAAACGAGCCGTTGGAATGGCATGGAAAGAGGTTGTGCCATGTTTCAGACGTGGACAGGACCAGGCTTGATTCATGTCTTTCCATCAGCAAATGGTGGCTGACCACAAAATGTTTGACTCCTGGGGCTCCTCTAGTTGGAATTTCTAGCACCCACAAGATGCAAAATACCTTACTAAACAGCCTGAACTTCAAATATGTATAATATGTCAAATGTCCTAAGCCAAGCTAGTCTGTCTGTGCCATTGGACAAGTCTTAAGCTATCGGACGAATCGAAATAGCTGCAACCAATGATGAGGGCCTGGCGTCGCGGCGTCGAAACGAACAGAGTGGATCAACATCGACAAATCGACACAGACGAAAATCAGCGCCGGGGCTGTGCAGTGGCTGTGCAGCTGTGCCTTGCGATTCTTGATGTCAGGCCTTGGTCATCCAAATTGTACCGTTGCAGCTGATTACACACAACAAATTGATACAAATTGCAGAGTCTGCATAGTCTGCATAGTCTGCATAGTCTGCATAGTCTAGTCTCATTATACGGTCACGATGGGTACAATGGTTACAATGGTTTCTTGGAATCTTCATCTAAATCGGAAATGTGAAAGCAAACTCCATGAGGATATCACGGAAGTGGTAAAGCTGATTGCACCATGCCACGCAACGCCGCCGGCACTGAGCGCACCTGGCATTGAGATACAATACGATACAATTGCAAAGACTTTGATTTGACAAATTGAATGCTTTCTTTCGACCTTTCAGCTCACGAACCGCTGGTGTTTCTTTCTGTCAAAAAGTAGTCACAACTTGGATGCCATGTTTTTCACAAATTGCGCTGCTAAGAATGCATTTGACAAAATTTGAAAACTGCATTGTTAATTCCGCTGCGTCTTGTGCATCCGCCGCATCCGTATCTGCCTGCTCAAAAGGGCGCAGCGCAGAGACCTAAGCAGCTTCAGCACAATGCGGAGCTCACAAATTGTGCTCACAATGCAGCACTGCAACAGTGCGAGGATCATGATCTGAAGAGTATGAGTATGCAACACTCATCAACACTGCAACACAAGGAGCTTTCTCCAAGAGTCTTTGCTCATCTTGGCAAATATCGATCCATATCCAGTTTTGATCAAACATGGTCGTAGGATGTCATAGGATGTCATAGGAAAATTGATAGCATAAGTATCTAATAAGATGAATTAAGATGTTACATTTGGATTTTGACATCTTGACATGTTGGTGCTCACCCTGTTGCTATCCATGTCACCAGATGCATCTCCCAGGAATCCCGGCAGGTTGCGTTGGTCGTCCCTGCATTGCCTGCGGTTTTGATGAGATTTCTCAACGTCCCATGCCTAGTTCAGTCTCACCACGTTGGCGTTCATGCAGATGGTGACCCCTCTGGATGAACACAGGCAACGTCCCAAGTAGACCAATGGAGCAACATAGACCAACATAAACCAACATAGACCAACTAAACTCCATTGCTGTCAGGTGTGTCAGGTGTGTCAGGTGTGTCAGGTGTGTCAGGTGTGTCAGGTGACTCCTTTTCTGGAGTTGAATGAGTCCCAGGCGACGCCGTCTGCAGAGGTCTTTTTCTATCCTTTTCTCTGCGACTCCGACCGCCAAGTTGGCTCCAGAAATCCTCAAAGCCTCGATAGCTCGAGACGCTGACGCATGATCCTTCGGGTAGTTCAAGGCCTTCAAGGCCGTCAAGGTCTTCCGGTACAGGTCCTTCTGAATTTGGAGCCTAAGAAGAGCCACTGCCGAAAAAATCAACAAGAGATACCCAAACAGATATGCAGTGATAAATGATTTATACAGCTATCTATACAGCTATTTTCGCCTCCATGTATGTTCCCAGATGGACATGGAGAACTCATGAGAACTGTGTGCTGAAGCCAAGCGGCTTCACCTTCATCGTCGTCGTCCATGAGAACTTGTTTCATGGCGAAGATGACGGTCTGACGGTCCAAGAATCCACGCAGCCGCATATCATGCAGCAACCTTAAAACCACATGCCTCAGCGGACAGCACTGGACAGCACTGGAACTAACACATTCAAACCCAAAGAACGCTTGTTGACACAAAGATTAAACTATATTGAACGTATCTGCTACCTAGTTTATCCCTTGTCACCAAAAAAAATGAGAAAAACTGGCCAGAATGGGCAAGTTGGTGCCAAAATGTGCCAAGTACCATGGATGTTCTCTGCTCCCTTCCATGACCACGTGGTAGACAGCTGGAGTGGCTATCTGATTTGTCAAGGCCTTGCTGGGAAGCCAGTTAGATTGTCAACCCTGGTGGCGTCACGAATGCCCTCCAGGCATCAAACGTGAAATAGGAGAAATTGAAAAATATATATATATACTGTATGTATGTATGTATATATATATATAACTATATATTTATATAGTCATAATCATAATTGTAATTATGACCACCTGAGAAGGGGTGGAACGAAAGCCAGCGGTTGCTTTTTGACTCGCGCGGGGGCGCGTGAAACTCCACCTCATCCATATGGCATGGCTCAAACATGAAGCGCCCCAACATCAACAATTGCTATCGGGTCATAATTTTCCAATCATTAAATGGACCTTTTTAGGGTAAACTCCACGATTTTGTAACTTCTATATCCAAATATGTTTCCTACAATGTACTGCGGCATTGTGAAAAGTTCTATCTCAAGTTCCGTAAATCCGCCTTTGGTTGCTCATTTATCTTAAAACAGCGCAAGTTTGCTCCCACCTATTGTAGATAAATAATACCCGCTTTTTTGTGTGAACAGTGGTCATGTGACCTCTCAAAGTCTAAATTGTTTTCTCCCCAGCGTGGTCCATGCTTCTCCGCGAAGTTCCGCAACATTTTGGCCGTACGGTGAGAAATCAAAACATAGCTCTACTCGCAAAATGGGCAGTGCAAACCCAAGACAATATTATAACATACGTAAGAAAGGGTATAAGAACGAATGAAAATCGAGGAAAACAATGCAAAACCCACGGGAAATATAGAACAGTGGCGAACATGCAGTCCAAATCAAAAGTATATATATTTAGGCCATTTACAGACCTGGGTACCCCCCCCCCCCCCCCAAGGGTCTGGAAAATAGGTATTTTACAGGAAATGTCGCGGAATAGCATCATCCCTGACATCGATAGAGATAATTGTTTGGCATCCCGGAAAATCTTCTCAGCTATCACACTCGCCAAACATCCCTTTTAAAAGGCACACATACTATCACGGACGTACAGATGCATATCATTCCCGTCATTGCCATTAGAAGATTCAAATTCTTTCTCGATGTTTTAGTACAAGATTCACTTTTAGTTCTGTTTCAGCCTTCTCAGTACGGCCTCTTACAATGATATTACAGCATTTGTCTCCTAACCTAGGTGGCTCCTGGGCGCAATCTTCATTCCAATGCTTTGTGACAATAACCAGAGGCCTGGAGCCTATGCATCACTTGACAGTCGGCTCAGTTCTAAACCGGAAAGACTATTCCTTCCGTTTACCAGTAGATCGTTTTTGTAGTTCTTATCACAAAACTACCAGAATCAGGGAGGCACCAAAAAACGTCAAACAGCTTTAAGCATTATAAATACTCTAATCTGCAGATTGTATTTATTTTTCTTACTCTGTGAACGAAATCACACTTTTCTAACTTCACACAGATTACCATGAAACCAATTTTCCCATGCAACTCCTAAAATCTTACAACTCATACATCTTTTTTCCTATACCATCCGCATCTTGCTCCAAGGTTTCATGGCAATGTCTTGTACGCGAGTCAGCCACTATTTCCTATCACCAAACTACATTGCTCATCATCTAACATTATCTACAGAAACCCAATCGGATTTCCTGCTCAACGTTTCCGCTCGTTGACATTGTCTTGGTTTTCACTACATTTTTTACAGCATTTTTTAGTTATAACATTTTCCTAGGTTTTCACTGTATTTTTCTAACATGTTACATGCCTCCTAGCATGTTCACGCGTGTCCTCCATGTTGTACTGTTTTCTACATCGTTTCCTCTAGTTGTTACAAGCATTTCCTAGCTTGTACATCGTTTTCCTAATATTGTCACAACTTTTCTTCCAGTTTCCACTGCTTTTTCTACCGTTTCCTGTGGTTACTTTCTTCTCTTTTGTAGGTTTTCACTGTGTTTTGTCCAGCTTTTTTTATTACATGCTTCCTACCATTTTCGCCGCTTCCCTCTATGGCTTTTTGTACCATTTCCTCTCGTTTCCTGCATTTCATGCATTGTCAATATATTTTTCCAAGAGTTTTACCCGTCTCCTTCAGTTTCCGATCGTTTTTGCACCATTTCCTCTGGTTGTTATCGCATTTTCCTGCACTTTCACTGTCTTTTTCCAACATGTTTACTGCATCGTCATAGTTTGTTCCTAGCAGCCACTCCGGTTTCCTCCATGTTCCAACAGATTTTGCATGGTTTGTTCCTAGCATTTTCCTCTGATCGTTATCATGTTTTCCTCAAGTTTCATTGTATTTTCCAATACATCCTCTTCGTGGGTTTTCAATATGTTTTGTCCAGCATTTTTTTTCTACATGTTTCCTATCATTTTCACCTCTTTCCTCCATTGGTTTTTACACCATTTCCTCTGGTTTCCTGCATTTTCATACCTTTTCAATATTAATATTAATCCAAGAGTTTTACCTGTCTCCTTCATTTTCCGATCCTTTTTGCACCATTTCCTCTCGTTGTTATCACATTTTCCTGCACTTTCACTGTATTTTTCCAGCATGTTTACTGTATCGTCATGGTTTGCGCCTAGCATCCGCTCCGGTTTCATCCATTTTCCAATGGATTTTCCATGGTTTGTTCCTAGCATTCGCTCCGTTTTCGTCCGTTTTCCAGGGGATTCTGTACGATTTCCTCTGATCGTTATCATGTTTTCCTGCAATTTCATTGTATTTTCCAATACATCCTCATGGTCTCTCCGGCCACCAAAAAGGCGGACCTAGGGGGAATCGATACCCCACCGTCAGCAAATTGCCGAGTGGTACATAATCCAGCAAAATGCTCCGTTTTCTCGCGCTCAACACAGGGGCACGGCGAGATTTCGTTCCCTTTCGGCAACCACCCCCCCCCCACACCCCCTATTCTCACTTCGTTCGCAAACAGCAACTAGCCAGCTAGCTGGCTTTCGTAATAATATATCACATGTTATCACTGGTAAATCATCTACAAAGTGCAACTTTCCTATCGCCTGTTCTTAGATTGCCAGATTCTGATGGCAAATCCCCAATATTTGTGGGTTAAAACGGTTCAAAATAATTTTCTGTACCATGTGCAGTGTACCATGTGCAGTGACATGCCACGCCTTCTCAAGGACCAAAAGAACGTGTTGCCATTTCTTGGACAGATTGCAAGCGTGCATGGCTATGAGAAAGCTCTTCTCATTGGAATCTCCATTCATTCCATTCATTCCATGGCTTTCTTTACGCCCTATGACGTTCAGGTCATTCAGGTCATTCAGAATTTGCAAGGTTTTGTCCCACTGAAAGCCCTTGGCACAAGCGTACATTAAGGCATTGTATGCCACAAGATCGGGCTGAAAGTTCTGAAATTTGCTGAAAAGATGAACAGCGCGTTGCCAATCGCCATCGTTGGACATCAGCACTGAAGTGAAGGTTGTGGCATCAGGCTTCAGATATGAAAAAAGCTTCACGATCTCCGAGTTCGACCTTGAAGGATTCCCGGAATTCTGCGGAGTCCCCGTCCCCATCTGGCTTAGAAGTTGCAACGATTGAGGCCACTCGGCCGCGCACGCCACCATTGCTGCGTTCAAAGTGTTCAGTGTCGGTTCCAAGGCCAACTGCAACGCATCGAGCAGCAACTGAACACTTCGCTGCCACTGCTCCCGTACAGCAGAAATGCACGAGTTTTGCAGCACCATCTGCGCTAGGGTTTTTGAATGTGCTTCAGTAAGATGAGATAGAGCACTAGTCCACTCACATGCACAAATCACAGAGCTATACGTGATGGCATCCCATTGCATTCCACTCCACTGCATCAATTCCATCGCTGCTAACCACTGGTTTCCTATGGCACAAGCATCCATAGCTGCATTGATTGATACTAGAGTTGGCTGCATTCGCAAGGACTCCATATCATAAAGAAGGAACAAGGCACCCTGCCAATCTCCACATTTTCCGCATGCGCTGATCGCAGCCGTATGCGTGACGACGTGGGTGACGTTGCGCCACTGCATGTCCTGCAGGAATTCGAGAGCCTGAAGCCATTTGCCTGCTGCTTCACAGGTGTTCATGGCAGCAGTGTAGCTCATTGAAGTGGGTTCCAAGCGATTTTCTGAGAGACCGTCCCAGCTTTCCAGCGCTTGCCTCCATCTTTGAGCTCGCGTAGATGCCATTATCAGGCTGTTGCTGGTGATGATGTTCGGCTCAAGTTTTCTGACTCGAACAACTGACGCCAAATGCAAAGCTAGCTGCCAAGCACGATTCTTCTGCCAATGCTCGGAGTTGCTCGTACAACTGATACAACTGCCAATACTTGCCATACTTGCGTTGAGGCTGATCAAATCCAATTCGAGTTGAATTCGATGCAGTTGCTCCAGCAGCTGCAAAGAGCGATTCCATTGCTTCAAGGCAAGAACCGAATTGTAGGTGACTAAATCACAAAAAATCCGTCTTTGATTGGCCTCCTGCAAAATATTCCCAGCCACGGTCCAAGCACTTTCTTTGCTGTAGTGAGCGATGAGTTTGTTGTAGCTGGAAGTGGCCAGCCAGCTCGGACTCAGACTCTTCTGACTCGGCAAGCTCGGCAAGCTCGGACTCAGCTTCCAATCTCGCATTCCATGTGGAGACTCGTGGGTCCGTTGAGATGACGATGGGCCAGCACCTGCCTAAATTCTGAGAACTTGAGATGGAAGAATTGGAAGAATTGGAAGAATGAAATTTAATGCAATGGCACATAATGGCACTTTTTAGAGGATATGGGATGAATCTTGGGATGGATCTTTGGGTGATATAGGATCTGGCCGATTACATTTGTATGAATATATAGTATATTCTTACCTCATCATGTAGACTAGTTACTTAGTTCTCTTGTACTTGACCTACACCTGTCACTGAAGAGAAAAATGTAAGTAGCGGGTCCTGGACAGCGGGAAACCTATGGAAACCTTGCAAGTTTGATCGGTGCGCCTCCGACACACGAGCCAGTTCTTCCAGGAGCCTCGCATCTAACAGGAACACCTCGAGCCTTGTTTTTTATCGCTTGTTATAGCATGCTATAGCACCAAGGTCACCGAGTTTACCTCTGTTGTTAATCCTCTGTTTTTGAAACTTTCAGGGGAGCTGTGCACTTTAGATCTTTTGCAGCTTGATGCAGAAAGATCAGATTCACTGGAACTTTCCCCTTGTTGCTCACCTTGTCTCGCAGCTTGTGCTGCGACTCTTTAGGTCGTTGATCTCTGCCTGGTCACCAATGAAACCGCAAACTTCAGAAACTGAAACCGCATCAATGTTGTTTGTTGATGTCTGGCTCTGGAGTCATACTGATTTTCCTGCAATCGCAAAGCTGTAGGACAAATCACGCTGTGAATTTGAAGAGCTTTGCTTGAACAGACTTGACGCTGATATGAATTCTGCGAGTTCCGTTCTCTACGTTATCTCAGGAAAACTGGCACCTGGAGGTAAGCATGGGCATCTGAGACCTGGTCAAGCCGGGTCAAGCCGGGTCAAGCTCAGAACATGATTGTATGATACGTATGATATGTATGCAATTTTCCTAAAATTTCCTTCAGCTTCCTGCTATATCTGCAATCCCCTGCACTTAGAAACGGCCAATGTTGCATTAATGTTCCACTATATTCTTTCTCAGTATCTCAGCCCAAACAAGAGCTCCATTCAGTCCATTCAGAATGTTGCACTCAGCCTTACAGTATCTTACAGTCATTGGATTATTGATGATTATTGGATATTTTGGATATTTTGGATATTTTGGATTGGTTCAGTCCTGTGCATCCCCTGACCTCGCTGGAGATCTTTGCTGAATGCCTTGGCATGCTGAAATGGATAGTGGGGCCGTGGAAACTGGGAAACCAAAAGTGAGGAATTGAACGAATAACATGGAATAACTGCACAGCCACTGGTATTTCATGATATTTCGGCGTTTGATGCCAGATTCCTTCTGGAAATTATGAGAACAAGCTTGAAAGACTCGCACTTGAAATCAACCAAATTCAAGTCGTGAAGTGGACTGAAAGTGTTCCTGAGGGTAGGGGACTTTCCGAGTCGACGCAACGCGGAAGAAACGGAAGAGACGAGGATCTCGGGCTGTGACCCATTGGTCACGGCCACCAAACTTTGCTCCAAGTGCTCTGTCCTGTTTTCGGAGACGGGCGAGAGGTCGGGAGTTGAAAGATATTGAAAAATATTGAAAGACTTTCAAAAGATATTGAAAGACATTAAGAGACACTAAGAGTTTCTTCAGGTACAGTGCGTACGGTCGAGATGTGACACCGGTGACGCTGTCCTCTCCAGTGCAGTGCCGATCATCTCCTTCCGCGACGACATCATGCCATGCCATGCCATGCTGCATGTGTTTGCTTCGGATTGTCTCAATGATCCAGCCGCCCACGATGAAAAACACCGAGAAGCGACCCTTTGCAGTCCTCGAGGCGAGCCTGAGTCAAAGCATAAAATCAGAAACCATCAGAAACCACCACTGACCATCGCATCATCATCAAAATCATCAAATCAGAAATGAACTGAAGATTTGGCATCGACAATCATGTTGGTTTCCCCCAAAATGCAAAGGGATCATAATCACAATAAAGCAGGTGTTCTGACCGACTAGGCTCCCAAAGCTTCGAACAACCCCTCTAATCTCATATATACATTCAAACTTGAAGCGTTTTTCCGTTTTTGAAGCACTCAGATTGTCTTCCGGGACTTGACATCTCGACGTTTCTCGACATTAACTCTCGACGAAGACAATTCCGTGCCTGACTCACTCCAGGATCCTCGCCATCTTTGGGCGAAACCTGGCGCACTGGCAAGGCAGAAATGGAATGAAAAGGATAGAAAATTCAGAAAATTCAGAAAATGGAAGGGTTTGGATTTGGATTTGGATAGGAATGGCACAACGCTGATGTTATTGCACGAGCTGCACGAGCTACACGAGCTGCCATAAGCCCATCTTCTGGAAACATTGGGAATGTTTGCCGCTTGCAGCTGAGGGCAACAAATGCAAAATGGCAACAGTTTCCTGAGAATGGGAGGCAAACCGAAGTACAGTTTGATTTTTTTGGTTACCTGGTGTCCTCATTCTCCTCTCCTCCCCTCTCAGAAATAAGCAGAAACTGCATTCGAAATGGATCGAATAGTCTTGTACTCCCGGGAGCAAAATTCCACGTGGAGCACCTCGCGGACAACTTGAAGCTTCTGCACCACGTCCTGCACCGTGGCAGGTCTAAAGCACCTCATGTTTCGAAACCTCAAAACAGAGATGGATAAAGATTGATGAAGATTGAGGAATTCAGAATGGAAAAAAATGAGGGAAAACCAACATGTACGGAACCTATCGGAATCATACAGTGACTATTCAGTGACTACAGTGACTCTACGGAATCAGCTGCGCCGAAGTGGCCTCTTTGTGGCTGGAGAGTTCCAGGGTAAACTGCCGTTCGACGGCCTCCACGTGGCACAGGGCAGGAGACGATGTTTTTGATTCGGATAGATACATGAACTATATACATAATATGTACAATGTGCCTTAAAATATATTCATGAACTGTATCGAAGTATTAAAATAGAATGTTTATAAGCTGGAGACTTGGCCTGACTTTGCAAAATGCGGGAGTTCGGAGCCTCGATTTTCTGCGACAAAATATCTGTGATCCTCACGCTTTCAGCCAGGTCTTGTGCTACCTGGTTCAGCCGCTCCTGCCGCAGACGAGGAAAAAAACCTGGAAGACCTGGAAGACGAACAAAACCCCTGGAAGACCCTGGGAGACCCTCAAAGACAGCACTTGGAGACTAGCTGAGCCGATGCCATGATGCTTTCAGCGTGCGCGCCTCTGGTACGGAAGGCCTCAAGCAGGGCGAGCACTGCGTTAAATTCAGAGAGGCCTTCAAGCACCTTGTTGGACATACTGGGGTAAATCCGTATAACATACATTAACATACATTCAATTTGAAGATTAATTAAACACAATTGATCATAAGCTACTGTCCAAACCTTTTCGAAAGAGTTGGAAGGAGACTTTTGAAATAGTGGCAAGCAAATGCTGGCTACTAAATCGGCCAACCAAATCGCGAGTCTTTCCTAGGCATATCTAGGCATCCATTTTTTTCACGTCTCTATGGGTCTGTATGCCTTTCCACATCCTTTCCACATCGCGCACATTGGGCTCTGTGTTTGACTCTGAGGTCCCTGGCGTTTGCAGCTGCTGGCGGAGTTCCTGTGAGCAATGAACAGCACTTGAAGGGTCAGATTTTCAGAGCTGTCGCATTCTCAGATGAGCACTCGAATAATCTAGAGATATCTAGAGAAAACGGAAAACGGACCATTTTTCAGAAAGGAGGCGAAGTCTTTGCTTACACCATCTGAGACTCAGCATGGAGTCTTTCTGCAACTTCTGCAAGCACTGCAGTTTTTGCACTGTTTCAGAAGCTATGGTACTTCCTGAGTCGAATCTCAGTAAAGGTTCTTTGTTGTTCCAAAGGCAATGGGATGTTTCAGCAGCCCGTCCAACATCTTGGTGCCGTCGCAACAATCGAAGATGCAGGTTAAGGTCGCATTGGCTGGGAGGAACTCATTGATCATCTCTGAGAGTTCCCCGTCCGAAATTGGTAGGTCCGATTCCTCGCTGGGACAGAGTTTCAGTCCATCGCCATGCCCGGAGAAGTGAAACAAAAGCCGTGCCTCGCCTCTAGATCCGTCACCAAGGAGTAACCATCGCAGGCCCTGCAAAATCTGCTCTCGGGACACGCGGCCGTTTCCCTCGTTTCCGGGCTGATCCGTCAGCGTGCGGATCTCGGAGGCAGAGAACAGGTTCTCAGACTGAAGCCTCGGAACATCAACGGAACATCAACGTTGCAGAGATGAAAAAAATGACGAAAAATGACGAAAAAGCGCGCTGTCCGTGCTGTCCTGAGCGAAAATTCACAAAGTATGACAAAATCAAATCGATTCAAGCCATGAAAAATAGAAGTCTACAGTCTACAGGCACAAATTGTACAAATGAAAGAAATATAATACATATTATAAGTCTAGAAAAGCAATTGAAGAATTGTGTGGTTTGGAAAAACGATCAGAACCCACTTTGATCATCTTTGATCCACGATGGCTCATGCTGCGAGACGCCAATCTTGCATGTCCGTGACGTCATTCCACGATCCATGGAGTTCTGGAAGTTTGGCCGCAGCATTCGTGGCCGGGTAACACAGACCCACCAACAAAGCACGGCGGACCTCTGCAGTCTCAGTCCAGACTGTGCCTAAAGTGCGAGTGTCGAGCCTGCTGGAACCCTTCAGTATGACCTTGGGCTGAGAATGAGTTGTTCCAGTTGTTCCAGTTGTTCCTTCAAGACTGGCCAACTTAACAATTTAAGCTACTCAATTTTTCTCAATTCCTTTCGAGCCGTTTGTGAGGGGGTGAGGGGAAAGTTTGGGCATCCTCATCATACATAGTCATAATAAGATATAATAAGATATAATAAGTCAATATAAGTCATACATAGTCATAATCATACCAGGCCACTCCAGCAGATTCCCGCTGACGATTTAAAAGATTTCCGATCTGCCTCAGTAAGCTGTTGAAGTCCAGAGATCGCCATCCTTTCTGTGCGTTCGCTTTCAGTACCGCGAGGAGTGACTGGGTACAGATCCCGCCCCGGGTGAATGGATCTACTCTACCTGAGAAGAAGCTCGAAAACCATCCCGTAGACCATCCAGAAGATTGTTCCTCCTGAGGTCTCAAAAGCAGAAAAACACTGGCATACCAAAAAAAAAACTTGTCCAAACCTCCAAACAACTTCAACAGGAAAACTAAACTCAAGACACTTCTGTCTTTCAGCAGGGTCTCCTGTTTTGGCTCATTCTGATTGTTCTCGTCACTCTCGTGACGATCTCTCTCTACAGAGATGGACAGGACGAAGCGCTGCTCGTCGTTGTGGAAATACAAACCATAGACTCCACATCTTCGCAGCAAAAAGCCCAGCATGAGACAAGGACAAGTGGCTGACAAGTGGCTGACAAGGCCAGGGTTTTGGTGGTGAAGCCGGTGAGGATGATAGTGTGATTCCCAAAGAGCCTTCACACAACACCGTCCAACTGAGCCGAAAAGGAAAAGACGCATTCGGTGTTCAACAAATTGTGGTGCAAAGAAGGAATGCATATTATGATATCTGTCTTTCCAAGACGTCAATTCTTGCATACCATAGCCACTACAAACGGCAAACATCCTGTAGTTGTATTTGTGGATGCCTCATCGGCTGTCCTATCTTTGACAGCCAATGCATGATGACAAAAAACACTTGCTGGAATCCAGAGCTGACTAAAAGGCTAAGAGTACAAGAAAGGCCTGAGAGGAAATGTTAGTGTCAGTATCTTCTGGCGACAAGGAGATAATGCGTCAAAAACTTGGGGGCAAATAGCAGTGCTCTTTTTTGTCGCGTTATTCTGTTGGATTCTCGCACTCATTCAGTGTGTCCAGCAATTGATTTGCCTGACACATCGTGTTTGCATGCTCTGCTTCCATGTTTTCGATGGCATCGTCATTCCCATCCTCCTGGGCTAAAGCCTGCAAACGATCGCAATCCGCTGAGAGTTGACGCAGCTGCTGTCGAATCTCTGCCAGTTGCTGCGGCAGCCGTGGAGCCACCTTCAGCACAGCACCAGCAACTCCAGTGGTGCCCGTCGCGCCCGTCGCGGGGCCCAACTCGATGACTTCGGTGAAACGACGAACGCTGCCCTTGATCAACTGATCCACGGCAGCATCCAGCTTCGTCATCAAACCGGCGTCCAACGGTGCAGGAGCGACGCCCAAATGACTTTCACCCCGTCCCGACGGTCCCGACGGCGGTCCCGACGGCGGTCCCGACGGCGGCGGTTGTGGCGGTCCTGGCGCCGGCACCTGGAGCATCTGCGGCTGTGGCCCAAAGCGCTGAGTTTGAAGTGCTGAGTTCGCTTGAAGCGCTTGAAGCGCTTGAAGCGGTTGAATTCGGCCCGAATCTTTTCGAATTAAACTTCCAGCCAGTGCACTGTCAGGCATTGGGATCTCGACAGTCTTTGCGGTGTCTTTGACCTGCCATGCCTGAACCTCCGCCACATGACAAACACCCAAGCTTTGTTCTATTTGACATAGCTGATCTCGTAACGAATCATCACTGGTCATGGCTCGCCGAGCGGCACGGATGCCTGATTGCTCGTTGATTTGATGGATGTGCTTGATCACATGGAATGTGCTCTCCAAATCTTTGATGATTGACTTATATGATATGCTTGGTCTTTCTCATCACTACCTGTCATTAGGCACTGAGCCAAAATCCGTATGTCTTCCAGTTTGATGCTGCTTCTAGAGTCCGTTTTCGATTGACCCTGAAGGGTAGCTTTTCTGAAAGATGATGGGAAGTTCATTCCATCTATAATACTCCTTTCAAAGTAGAGCCTGGTATGCTGCCGGGACTATCAAAGGTTTCGCAGAGCACTCTGCGGACTTGCGCAGCCTTTCAAATGTTTCAATCTTCCCTCACCTTTTGCTGTTTGTTTGTCCTGCCAAACGTGCCAAATGCCCAAATGCCCAGGCCGAGCCTCAACCTGCTTCTGCATCTCTGACCTAACACGGATGTTCAAAATGTTCAAAGGCGTTAGAAAGTCGTTCGTAAAGACCTTGCGGGATCCTATGGGCCGCATTTTTGGAACCTCAATTGGTCCCAAATGGTCCCAATATATCAATGAAATATCAATTGGCCGGGTGGGTCGTGCGACATCTGCAACCAACGTGGCCAAGTGGCATGGAAGCAGCTTCGGCCTCAAATCGGCAGGTGACAGCAAGAGCCTTTCAGGATCTTTCCCAGCAATTCGTTCCATTCTGTGGAAGATTTGATGACGGAAAATCATTGAGGCTATGACTTGCACACGTTGGGTCGCAATTACCTGATATGACCAGGGTAGCGAAAGAGGATGCACTGCGAAACTTATCAATGGATTGGAAGCCGCACTTGAGATCTACAAACCACATCTATTTATCAGAATCAGTAGATTCAACTTGCAAACAAAAGAAATCCAAAGTCCAAAGCGTCCAAACATGTCCAAACACATCTTCCAAGATCTTCCAAGATCTTCCAAGATCTTCCAAGATCTTCCACGGCTTCTTGGTCATGGAAGCTCTGCAGCCTTCACTTTGATCCACTGGACGCTGACGCTTCCCGGCATTGATCCGACACCCTTTGGGTGTGGTCCATCAAAGATAGCAACGCTCCGTCAGGCGGCAAAGTGTGGCACGACGCTATCGTAAAGGATGCCGCACATTCCTTGACCAAACTGGTTTCCAGGAGTTCAACAAGTTGAACATGAAATGATGAAATGATGAAATGGTCACTTTCTGCGTTTATTATTGGTATAGATCAGTATAGATCATTTAAGGTGATACGATTCGATGTGTAAAATCGATTGCACATTGAACTGATTGAACCATCCGATGTGACATGACCGCATCCAAAGGCTCCACAGACACGAACGCGGCTTGGGTCGCCTTTGCACGCCGTTCCTGCCAAACAAATGACAGAGTGCAGGGCAGAAACTCTCAGAAATCTCTGAAAACTCATAGGTTGTAGAGATTGTGGTAGAGCGAATGGATATTTAATTATAGATGGCTATAGATGGTATTTCTTGGTATTTATAGATATTTCTTGATAGTTCCTGATATTTTGTGCTCTTTAGAGTCTTTAGAGGACATTTGTAGTTCATTGTAGTTCTCTGAATTCAAATGATGGTTCAGTCCTTTCTGCGCTTGTCGATCCCAGCCGCACCGTTGCTCTTCATCTCGCAGCAACCGAATCCGACCACCCTGCACCATGAATTGTGAGTGTTTCTGACATGGGAAGCACTAAGGAATCTGGGAAAAACATAGTAAACTCAATGCAAAATCATGCAAAATCCATGAATGTTGGACATTTCTTGAGAGGCAACATGAGGCAACCATTTCGGACATTCCATGTTCCATTCATAGCCCAATTTTGACCCCAATCACTGTGACCTTCGGCAGCTCTCGCACCTCTCCCCAGCGATGCCCCCAGGAGTTTTGGATTAGCCAGAACTTCTCGGAGATCCTGAACTGAAAAACCCAACAGACTCAACAGCGCTCACGTCTCGAGATTTTTGGAAATCCAGGGTTCATTAGGAATATTAGGATCAGATCAGCAAGATCCATCACTACGGAAACCGGATGAAACCAGATGAAACCGCTACAGCGGAGGTAAAAGGTACGCCGTGAAAACATGGTGTCTCCATGTTTCTCTCGGACTAGCTTCCCAGGCTTCCCAGGCTTCCCAGGCTTCCCAGGCTTCCCAGCACGGTAGGCTAGGCGGTCTACAGAGTCTACAGAGGGTACGCCTTTCACCACTTGAACCGTAGCGTACAAAGGTTTCACAAAGGTTTCATCTTGAGGCATAGACAAACAAATCAAAAAGCGAAGCCAACCATTTCATGATCCCAAACAAGAAGCATCTCATCTCGTCCGAAGCCAATGAGGGTGACCGCATGGTCGATAACCGCATCCTCACAAGAAAACTGGGATCCGAGTGTCTTTGGAGTTGTGGTTTCTTTAAACTGCCACTGCCATGCTACTGAAAGCAAAGCACAAAGGCTCTCCTGATCACAATAGTCGAAGACACCAGTGGAGTAGAGGTGCCTCAGCAAGAAATGCACAAATGCACAAAAATGAAAGTTTAGTTTGTAAGCGTTCAAGACCAAGACAAAGTGATCCCGCATCCAAAAAAGAATCTCCGAAGCTTACACAAAGCCTATGACCCTCTTGGAGATGTTCAGCAATGTTAGATTGCTGTTCAGTTTCTGTTTGACATTGTTAAAGTAACTGATGTAACTGTTAAAGTATAAGTGCTTGTACAGTGTTAAAGTAAGTGTTTTTACAGTAACTGTTAACAGTTCGGTTCACACTTTCTGTTTCTCCGTTTCAGTGTTCGTTGCTCCGACGACGTCTTCGTTTCGAGAGAAGTCACCAGGTCCTCGCTGCCACTGAAACGCCCACGGGACCACGTTCGTAGACCGCACGGAGCAGCGGCTCATAGCCTTCAGCGCATCTCATGTTGACCAAATTTGACCAAATTTGAAAAAAAAAATTGAAATACGTTGGATATTGAATATTGATGAATATTGATGAATATTGATTCTGTATGAAATATCCACATATATATTTACATGAATATCTTCGATGATTTTGATCAATATCTGATGATTTTGTTCACCATTCTCAGGCTGATGCTGCTTAAGACTTTGCGTCAACCCGATGGCTGAGATGCTGCCGGATCCTTTTTTTGATCCTTGTGGAATGAAGCGCCAACCACACCGTTCTTGGCAAGATAAGGCAAGTCCAAAATCGTCCGAAATCGTCCAAGGTGTTCCAGCATTCCAGTCTGTTCCAGTGTTCCAAGATCAAGATCTTGCTGATCTCCTTGCTCTCCTTGCTGCTTGGAAGCTGTTCACTGGAAGTCGCTGCCAACCTCTGAGACCACTCTGCAAGCCCAAGGAATCCTTCGCCGCTAGGTGAGCACCCACTGAAGACATGTCCTGGTGCCTGAGCTGTCCGAAACGTCTGCAGTCGACAACAGTCTGCAACAGTCTGCAACAGTCTGCAACAGTCTGCAACAGTCTGCAACAGTCTGCAAGCCCAATCCTGGACATCGAATGACATCGAACATCAATTGGGACAAGAGAAACCCTCACCTTCAATGAATTCAATGCATTGTGATTGAATTCGCTGGAGATCAAAGCATCAGGTCACACAAATGCCATATGCAACTTCCAGACATAAATTTAAAGCCCTTGGCCGTGTCCGGACTACGTTTACTGTGGCCACCATTCTTTGAACTCCAGCTGAATGAACATGTAAAGAACGGGGAAAACATGGAAGGCAACGGGTCACCAACTTGCTTCTGGGCCGCTCATGCAAGTACTTCAGTGCTGCCAAATCCTCAAGAAATCTGAAGCTGTGAAGATCTATGAAGATCTGTGAAGCTTTAGCTTAGCGCTACAGTGGCTACAGTATTACCTCGCCACCTATTCACCACCTATCTCATACTCCACTCGACAGCTGCACAGCATCTGGTCATGACATTGCATGTCATGACTCTAATGTCCAGTTACTTCATTGGAGTAACATTAGAGTCGTCATGTCACTTCATGTGACACTTCATGTGACACTTCATGTCACTTCGCTCTGCGCCTCGTAATTCTGCGCTGCTGTTTGATTCACAATGTCAACCGCTTCCTCCCCAAGATCCTGGCGCCAGTGCGGCATCTGGGACGCTCAGAATTTCAAAACAAATCGCAAAACAAATGTAAACACATTTATTAAATGATATTAAATGTAAACAACCTCTTTAGATCCCTTTAGATCAAATCCCAGTTTCAAAGATATCAATACATTTCCCGTCTCTGGGGTGCATATGGTGCATGTCTTTCATGACAACCATGATCCAATTTGACTCTGTCTGCACAGGTTGTCAGCCCTTGAACTCCTCTCGATGGCCATCTGCCCTTGGCTGAAGTGTCAATTGGACACAAATGAACAGACATATGATGTGTATGATTGTGTATGCACCATCTCGCAAGAAACACTTGGTGTGCACAAGATGGGTCTCACAAGTGTTTAAAAATGTTTAAAATAGCTGCAGATCGAGCATCTGAAACGCAGAGAGCGAGCCACCTGAGCCACCTGAGAGTCCGCATCTTCCAGTTCTGCGTCGGTAAGGATTTTGAGTTTCTTCCCGAAGGCCCAAGTGCATGGCCTTGAGACCATTGAGACCAGCGTCCCACCGTCCCACAGCATTCCAGAAAATGTCACAACATTCACAAAATTGCCGCTGTATAGCATTTCTTTAGCTTTTTATGCAGGTTCATGTTGTACCCTTCGAAACTGAAGATAGATCAATGATAAATCATGATTAAATCATCCTACAAAGATGCAAACACTGGAAAGACTAATCATATCTAATCATATCTAATCATATCTAATCATATCTAATCAAATATGTCTGCAAATATGTCCTTTTGCAACACGATGCAACACGTCGTCGGGCAACGTAGTTCATCGCCAGTTCCACCGTGGCCCCTGAACATCCACCGGTGCCCCCGCAGGCATTGGGATTTGGCACGCAGTCCACCAGCTCCTGAACACAGCAGAGACGAGGAAAACACACCACAAAAAGATACAAATATTATATATATATATATATACATATTATATATATAAAGATATTGTATATATATATATATTTTATAAAGATATAAAAAGGAAGAACAAAAATGTCAGAGAACTGAAACCACCATAGAATTTAAGGATTCTACGCGAGAGACTATGTGACATGATGTGTCAATTACTTGGATATGTTTTTCTGTCGCAGACATTCCATCTCAAGGAGATTGAAGAAAATGTCAATGTGCGACATCAAACTGAAACAGTTCCAATCCGCATGGGAAAGACAGCAAAGCGAGAGTCAGGGAAAGAATGTGCTAAGTTGCTGCCCGCTGACCTGGAAGAGTTCCAAAAGAGGAACTTGTCAACTCAACTTTCTCAGGTATTGAACGACCCATGGCTAGTGCTATAAAAACCCAACAGATCCCAACAGTCTCTGCACCTGAACTGAAAAGCTCCGCTGTGGTGATTGGTAGATCTCTGCATGTGCCATGAGCACCACAGCACTTGTGACGGCCCAGCAGGAGCCGCAGCTGCCCTGTGCCGTCAGTGCCACAGTCAAAGGATGACAACGAGACAAAAATTGGGGCGTTCTCCAGGATTGAATCAGGTTGAATCAGATTGAATGCTGTGGTTTCACCTTGTTTCACCTACATGTGTCTGCCATGAGGCTTTCCAGCAACTCTCAATTCACGACCTAGGACAGAGGGACGGGACAACGCGCACCTGATCAAAGACGTTCTGCAAAGAGGACAATGTCGTCCAGTTCAAAAATTGCTCTGGCAAGCTATTCACCTCACAGAATCAGGCTCAGATATGCTCGGATATGCTTGTAGAATCTTGTAGAATCTTATAGATATCATTTGGATATCTGAGATATTCTGAGATCATGCCAAGGCCCCAAGGCAAGGCTTTTGCAGAAAATCACGCGGTGAATTCTGATCTCCGTGGCAGTCCGCATCGCGCGCCTGGACCAACGCAGCCTGCGCAGCCTGGGGGCCTTCTGCAGTTGCAGTGCCTCGCCAGCCACGAAGTTCAGCCAACTCCTCGTCCGTGTAATCCTCACAGGTCTCTCACTGCTCAACATTGCTGTCCTTGACATTGTCACGAGTATCTCACTCATCTCAAATTCATCTCAATTGTAGATCTCTGAAGATGTCTAAGAGATTTCTGAAGATACTGAGGAAATCTGAGGAATATCATGGAATATCTTAATATATCTTAACCATTGGAGGCATTTGCGTGTTGCCATTCTGGCAACGTCACGCCGTTGTTCTGATGACCTCTGTCAGGTCGAGTAGCTGCTAGCGGTCCCAAGCCAGCCGTCCAGCGTCGTTTCGGATTCGCATTTAACCGATGCACCTCGCAATCAACGGATTCAACTTCAGTGAAAGCACTGAAAGTTGCAATATCTGAAGCTTGACGAAGCTTGACATAGGCTTTTGAATGAGACAGCCCACATTAGCTATATGGCTATATATGGCTCAAATGCTAAAAATGGTTTGCAAGTCTATCACGTCTTTCACTTACAACAGGTGAAGAATGCAAATTGAAGCACGAAACATAAAACCACTGGTGAACACCCGCTTGTTCGCTTGGATTTATTAGTGTGCAATCAAAGATCTCTGTTCACTTGATCTGTGCATGCATTTGAATGGTGGCCCCCATCCTCCTGCCCTAAATGGTTAGTCACAACTAGTCTTCTTGTATGGTTTTGAATCTGTTGCACTGTCTTCGCTGCCTCTTGAAAAACAAGAATTTTTCATCCAGACTTCGCAGTCCCTTCCCGGCCCTTCGCCTCCTCAGCCCGGCTCTCGAACAACCGGAAGCGCTCCCGGTAGGTGCCGGAATCATAATCTCAGCGCAGCGGCGCAGCGTTCAAATCACGTGGTTCATTCTGTTCTAACTCGGCACAACTGTCCAACCAAAACGACCAAATGTCTTCGGAGTTCAAAAATAGTCTCTTTTCTGTCTCCATAGTCTCCATTCAAAAATATGATGGAAATCTGGTGGGGTTCCAGTGCCAAGTTGCCGCGACCATATCGCGAAATGAACGCCTCGAAAAACTCTAGAAACAACAGAAATCAAATGTATTGACCTGGCAATTCTATGCGGAATTGATTGGTTTGGAAACTTAGATCACTGCTCAGTTTGGCACGTGATGCATGAGAACACACGGTTGAACTCTCTGTGCCGGCCCTGGCGGCCTTAAAAGTTTCCTCGGAAGCTGTGACGGACTGCACTGCGATCAAAAAAGCCACACGGGCCACACGGGCCGCCATCTCATCCACAGCCACCTGTCAGGTTTCCACAGGTTTCCACAGCTGTTCTTCACACAAAACGAGTTAAAACAGTTATCGAGTTGCAATTGGTTTACAAAGGGTGGAAAGGCAGGTGAATCATCATGGGAACACTTTGGGTAGTTTGACAATGTTCGCTTCGGATATCATACAGATATATACAAATATGGTGTCACGTTCAGGAGAATGAAAACGATGCTCCACTGAAAACCACGTGCCTATTGTTGCTCCGCTGCAAAGCCCTGGGCAACTGGCCTTGTGTGCAGTTCAAACTAAATTCAAATCAAAATTGGTCGTCGTAAACGTTGTAAACGGTGTCCTTTCAGGCACATGTTTTTCATGTTGAGTGGGAACCTGAAATATCCGAAACGAAGGAACATTTGTTCATCAATTTCAGCCGCAAAGCCCCAGTGAAAACAGCAGAGCCGGGGTCCCAGGCCCAGGTTTTCCAACGGTGCCGACGTGGAAACACTTTCGGATTTGGACCAAAGGTTCTGCAGCCGTTCGACGCATCAAGTTCAATAAAGACACAGAGAAACACATCCCACATATTCACATTTAATAGTCGTTTAATCACTGACAAAATATTTCTAGATGCATCATCACATTTAGTTCAAGTTAGAGAGGGTTGAACAAGCTGATCATGGTCAAATGACAGTTTCAACGTTGCAAAAAATACATAAAAATACCATGACTTCCAAGAATGACATTTTTGCCAAAGTCAAGGCCGATTTATTGAACCGTTTCTGTGGTTTCTCCGAACACGACGAAACAACAACGAATCGCACCACGAGTCCGGTGCCTCGGACTGAGCCGTCAGCTGCTCCTCCGGATACAAGGGACACAAGTCGGACACAACGATGTTAAACTGTTTTCAACGATTTTTAACGTGTATATGCTGCATATGCTGCATATGAATGCATATTATGAATGCATATGATATCAATATCAATACACGAACGTGTATAACAGGCAACTAATTTTCGTTCTGATGTGTCCGACGTTTTCACGATCATGTCTAACGAGAAAACATTATTTAGGTGACATCCACGACCTGCGCACGCCACACAATCGACGATCATCGTTATTTTTTTGGGTGCCTTGACCGCTGGATATGTTCAAATTGCACAACGTAGGGCGCTCCCAGAGCTCCGTGAACTCGGTGGCACGCCACGACATGACGTGACACGATGACGTTCGATGGTCGCCGTCACGAAGTGTGCGAATCTTCTCGTCAGAGTCCAACGGCTCGCCATCAAAAATGTGGTCGTCATTGGCTGCTCATTGATTGTCATTGTGTTCCAGCTGTCAAGATCAAGAGATCAAGGTCCACCGAGCCGACAGAAATGCCGCGTCGAGCATGGTCTTGTCGCATTGCAGCCAGCCTCGCTTTGTATCGATGCCACGACCAGAAGTTCTCGATCCGATGCACTGATATGAGTTGCGCCCTGCTCATGAACAATCCATCGAACCATTCCAAGCGTATCCTGCGGACCTTTCTGCGGGTGCGCTGCACTCAAAGTCCACCATGGCTCCACCAATGATGAAATGATGGTGGTGCTTCGACTATCAAGACTTCAATGACTTCAAGTAGTCCAGATATGCCTGGTGCATCTCGTGCCCTTCAGGCGCAAACGCTAGAGCCATTCATGTCATATTGCCAGGCGCCAAGGCTGAGACCAGAAGTGCTCTTCTGCACCTGCAAGCAGTGGCAGGTGATTCTTCAGCGTCATTCAATCCTAAAAAGACCTCAAATGTCCATCCTCGATTCCTCCCAGCCGAGACCAGCGTAGCTTCCGATCATCGCCATGACAAGGAGGTGAGGCTTCCGACGGCCGATCCCACCATCAGATGCGTGAGCCTGCTTTCATGATGCCTGTCCTCAACCTTCACACTTAATGACACTTAATGACACTTCATGACCTGAAACGCTGGAGAGAAAGCAGCCTCCAACGCCGCATTCAAGTGCCTTTGCCTCGCGCATTGTTTCTCAGCCGCTTGCGCCTTCAACGTGGCAGTTTCCTGCGAACTCTTCAGCCTTGTGCACAGCGACTTCTTCGGCTCACAGCTGCTTGGGCTCCACCGGCTCCGGCGTGGGGTTTCCTGTCTTCCTGTCTTCACTGCAATGCCGCAGCTTCTAAAGTGCGGCATTTTTTGCAGCCCATCTTTTCAGAATCCGTGGAGACCAAATATTCACAGCTTGCACTGTACTTCAGGCGCTGGCAGCCATTGCAACTCCACCGGTCGTAGGTACTCAAATTCAAAGCGCCATAGATATCAAAAATGACTTTTAGTGGAAGACCATGTGCCTTTTTGGGGCGTCCATTGATTTTGGCGACCATGTCCAAGTGGGAACACAGACTTGAGACTTGAAGCAGAAATGCCTCTGTTTCAATAAGCTTCACCGAATCACAATGCTTGTGCTGATGTGTTTCTGTGCCTCTTGGCCTTTGCAGTTGATCAAAAGCTGATCAAAATGCCAAGTCAACTTCGCTTCTGTTCATTGAATCATGACATAATGATTTTGAAAGCATTTCAAAACATGATAGGAACAATGTTTCAAACCTGTACCGCTGTGCTATGCCAAAAAATCTACTCTCGAAGTAGTTGTAAAATGCATTGTTGGACAGGCCACAAGAAATGTTGATCCCTGCCAATCTAACGAAATTATTGAACTATATGGCTGTGTACCCTGCGTTCCATTTTACCATTGAACGGATAAATAGTGTTAGTGCCTCAAAAATCACAATTTCAAGTTCAGGAGTGACAAATGAAATGGCATGGGAATATAGAATCGAGATTTGTTTGGGGTAATTAGTTTCTTTCGTGTAAATACCTTGCACATGGTATTGTTATAGTATTGTTGTAGCATTGTTATACATGCTGTTTACCTGCTGTTACAGTGACATGGTCAATGGTAAACTACATGCTCCACATAACTGCAGAAGTTGCGTTGCGGATTCCAGCAATACCAGCATTCCAGCGCAGCCAGCGTACAGCTCGTACCTGCAACGCAGCCAAGTTCTTCGCCAAGTGCCTCTCAGCCTGGCGACGCATGGCCGGATGACACACTTCCGACATGAAAACTGAGAAAAACATGCAGACATATATGAGTCATATATGCATATATATATGTGTGTGTGCATACAAAATATATACAAAATAAATGCAAAATATGACTGATTAAAAACTTGGAAGCGTCGTGACTGGATGAAAAGCAATGACAAATTATGAAACGTCTGACATTGTGTGTGTGTGAGAACAAAAAAAGTGCTGTCCACAAGCAAGGACAGCAAGACCTGTTGTGCAACATTCCTCTATGTGGAGGAAGCGGCTGCTGTCGTCTAATGTGTTTGTATGCATTTTATAGATTTGCCGTATAACTTGTTTTACAATATATTGATATCCGCCGACCCCGGCCGACCGCAAGGGGGAGCGCGTCAGGGAAGAGAGGTTGTAGACAACAAGAAATACAACAACGGGTCGGGGACCAGCAGCAGCAGCAAAAGCCTCTGCAGCAGCAGGAGGAAAAGGTAGCCAAAATTCATAGCAGCAGCAAGAGGAAAAAGCAACCAAAATCATCATTTTCTATGCGTTTTCGTTAGGCATTTATGGGGTGCAATTTTGGGGTTTCTCCGTCCTTCACTGCCATGGTGTTTTCCCATCCAGCAGCAGGCAGCAGCAGGCAGGAGCAGGCAGCAGCAGGCAGCAGCAGGCAGCAGCAGGAGCGGCAAAGTTTCAATTTTATAGTAGGGTTTCAGAAGTGACGTTAGGCCCTTTTTTGGGGTTCCATTGCTACGTTTTTGCTCTTTCGGATGTGTTTCGAAAAGGGTGTCTGGCTGTTTGTTTCTTGCTTTGGAGGCTGTTTGATTGCAGCAGCACCACAGCAGCAGCAGGAGCAGCCACCAGTAGCAGCACCAGCAGCAGGCAGCAACAGGCAGCAAGCAGCTTCTGCCAGCAGCATGCAGCAGCAGGCAGCAGCAGGCAGCAGCAGGCAGCAGCAGGCAGCAGCAGGCAGCAGCAGGCAGCAGCCAGCAGCAGCCAGCAGCAGCCAGCAGCAGCCAGCAGCAGGCAGCAGCAGGCAGCAGCAGGCAGCAGCAGGCAGCGGCAGGCAGCGGCAAAGTTTCAATTTTATAGTAGGGTTTCAGAAGTGACGTTAGGCCCTTTTTGGGGTTCTGCATTCAACGCTGCGGCACGCTTGCGGATGGCAGCTTGGACTGTGGCCACATGACATGCGTTGCAGACCCGTGTGCCATGTTGACCCCGGCCGACGCAAGGGGGAGCGCGCCAGGGAATAAGACATTTTCCGCCGACCATTTGGAAGCTTGCAACAGCAGCAGCAACAGCAGCAGCAGCAGCAGCAGGCAGCAGCAGGCAGCAGTAGGCAGCAGTAGGCAGCAGCAGGCAGTCACAAAGCCATGCAGCTTGTACTTATAAGGGTAAGCAGCAGGCAGGCAGCAGCTGCAATATGATGTTTCGCAGTCCGGGGCCCGCGTTTTCGTAGTCTAGGATTCCCGAAGAGATTCTCTAGGATTTAGGATTCTCTAGGTAGCAGCCAGCAGCAGCGAGTAGCCAGCAGGGCCAGCAGTCAAGAAGCAGGTAGCAGGCAGCCAGTCGAAGCCTGATGCACAAAAAAAGAGATATTTTTCTAGGAATTCAGAAGGGGCGTTAGGCAGTTTTTGTGGGTAAGTTTGAGCACGGTTTCGGCACGCAATTAGGTGCTGTTTTGCTGTGGCGAAGGGTCCCTTCTGGAAGCCTGATGCTTGCAGCTTGGAGCTACCAAACAAGAGCTGCAGGAGACAAATAAAGAGATATTTTTTCTAGGCATTCAGAAGGGACGTTAGGCAGTTTTTGTGGGTAAGTTTGAGCACGGTTTCAGCACACAATTAGGTGCTGTTTTGCTGTGGCGAAGGGTTCCTTCTGGAAGCCTGATGCTTGCAGTTTGGAGCCACCAGACAACAGCTGCAGGAGACAAAAAAAGAGAAAATTTTTCTAGGAATTCACAAGGGGCGTTAGGCAGTTTTTGTGGGTAAGTTTGAGCACGGTTTCGGCACGCAATTAGGTGCTGTTTTGCTGTGGCGAAGGGTTCCTTCTGGAAGTCTGATGCTTGCAGCTTGGAGCCACCAAACAGCAGCTGCAGGAGACAGAAAAAGATATTTTTTCTAGGAATTCAGAAGGGGCGTTAGGCAGTTTTTGTGGGTAAGTTTGAGCACGGTTTCGGCACGCAATTAGGTGCTGTTTTGCTGTGGCGAAGGGTCATTTTTGTGGGTAAGTTTGAGCACGCTTTCGGCACGCAATTAGGTGCTGTTTTGCTGTGGCGAAGGGCCCCTTCTGGAAGCCTGATGCTTGCAGTTTGGAGCTACCAGACAACAGCTGCAGGAAACTAAAAAACAAAAAAAGATAGATTTTTTCTAGGAATTCACAAGGGGCGTTAGGCAGTTTTTGTGGGTAAGTTTGAGCACGGTTTCGGCACGCAATTAGGTGTTGTTTTGCTGTGGCGAAGGGTTCCTTCTGGAAGCCTGATGCTTGCAGCTTGGAGCCACCAAACAAGAGCTGCAGGAGACAGAAAAAGACAGACATTTTTTCTAGGAATTCAGAAGGGGCGTTAGGCAGTTTTTGTGGGTAAGTTTGAGCACGGTTTCGGCGCACAATTAGGTGTTGTTTTGCTGTGGCGAAGGGTCCGTTCTGGAAGCCTGATGCTTGCAGCTTGGAGCCACCAAACAACAGCTGCAGGAGACAGAAAAGAGAATTTCTTCTAGGAATTCAGAAGGGACGTTAGGCAGTTTTTGTTGATAAGTTTGAGCACGGTTTCGGCACGCAATTAGGTGCTGTTTTGCTGTGGCGAAGGGTCCGTTCTGGAGGGCTGATGCTTGCAGCTTGGAGCCACCAAACAGCAGCTGCAGGAGACAGAAAAAGATATTTTTTCTAGGAATTCAGAAGGGACGTTAGGCAGTTTGTGTGGATAAGTTTGAGCACGGTTTCGGCACGCAATTAGGTGCTGTTTTGCTGTGGCGAAGGGTCCGTTCTGGAGGACTAATGCTTGCAGCTTGGCGCCACCAAACAAAAGCTGCAGGAGACAGAAAAAGACAGACATTTTTTCTAGGAATTCAGAAGTGACGTTAGGCAGTTTTTGTGGATAAGTTTGAGCACGGTTTCGGCACGCAATTAGGTGCTGTTTTGCTCTGGCGAAGGGTTCCTTCTGGAAGCCTGATGCTTGCAGCTTGGAGCCACCAAACAACAGCAGCAGGAAACAAATAAAATAAAAAAGAGAAAATTTTTCTAGGAATTCAGAAGGGGCGTTAGGCAGTTTTTGTGGGTAAGTTTGAGCACGGTTTCGGCACGCAATTAGGTGCTGTTTTGCTGTGGCGAAGGGTCATTTTTGTGGGTCAGTTTGAGCACGGTTTCGGCACGCAATTAGATGCTGTTTTGGTGTGGGGAAGGGTCCGTTCTGGAGGCCTGCTGCTTGCAGCCTGAAGCCACCAAACAACAACTGCAGGAGACAGAAAAAGAAATTTTTTCTAGGAATTCAGAAGGGGCGTTAGGCAGTTTTTGTGGATAAGTTTGAGCACGGTTTCGGCACGCAATTAGGTGCTGTTTGCTGTGGCAAAGGGTTCGTTCTGGAGGGCTGATGATTGCAGCTTGGAGCTACCAGACAACAGCTGCAGGAAACAAAAAAACAAAAAAAGATAGATTTTTTCCAGGAATTGAGAAGGGGCGTTAGGCAGTTTTTGTGGATAAGTTTGAGCACGGTTTCGGCACGCAATTAGGTGCTGTTTTGCTGTGGCGAAGGGTTCGTTCTGGAGGGCTGATGCTTGCATGCAACTTGCAGCCACCAAACAAGAGCTGCAGGAGGCAGAAAAAGAAATTTTTTCTAGGAATTCAGAAGGGACGTTAGGCAGTTTTTGTGGATAAGTTTGAGCACGGTTTCGGCACGCAATTAGGTGCTGTTTTGCTGTGGCAAAGGGTTCGTTCTGGAGGGCTAATGATTGCAGCTTGGAGCTACCAGACAACAGCTGCAGGAAACAAAAAAACAAAAAAAGATAGATTTTTTCCAGGAATTGAGAAGGGGCGTTAGGCAGTTTTTGTGGATAAGTTTGAGCACGGTTTCGGCACGCAATTAGGTGCTGTTTTGCTGTGGCGAAGGGTTCGTTCTGGAGGGCTGATGCTTGCATGCAACTTGCAGCCACCAAACAAGAGCTGCAGGAGACAGAAAAAGTCGACAT